ACACTTAGAGCGGAACTTCAAAAGGACATGTTAGAATGCCTTGACAGATTCAATATTGAACTCGAAACAAGAGTAAAGTCCATTAAAGACGTAGCTTCATTGTTTGAGGTTGTGCAGTCAAAGACCTTGCTTTCGGCAAACACTGAACAGTTAAAATTAGCTATATCAAAATTTACTAACCTTTACGATGAAGTATCAGAAACAGAACTCCTTTTAGAAATACCAAGATTGAGAAGACATTTAAAAGCGGTTAATATTAGGTACTGTCTCTAATTGGGTGATACTGGACTTTTTGAAATTTATTGTGGAATGGGATTTTACAGAATCTCTTCCGAATCTAACGGTAGCACTAAAGTTATTTATAACAATATGTGCATCAGTAGCTTCATGTGAGAGAAGTTTCAGCAAATTAAAATTAATTAAAAATTATTTGCGGTCTACAATGACCGAAACCAGATTAAACAATCTTGGTATTTTAACGATAGAACATGAAGCAACACAAAATATAAATTTTGAAGACGTGATTTCGGAGTTCGCTAGTGTCAAAGCTAGAAGGAAGAAATTTTAATTTTTAACAAACTAAATTTGTTTTACATAATAAACAAATATTTGTAATAGGTACTCATATTTTAATAAAACGTAAATGATTATAACTTTTTTTTATTTTAACAGTTTCGATTGAGTTTTAGGGTGACACCTATAAAATCCGCCCCGGGTGCCACCTATGCTAGCTACGCCACTGGTTACAAGTGCATTACCTGGCTTTTGAGGATTAGGAATTTGAGGATTGTTGGAGATTCAGGGATTGGGGAGATTGGGGGAAGGGAGAGGGGGAGGATAGGGAACAGTACTTTATATAAGTTAATGCCTATTTAGAGTTATATGTCGGAATACTGAAACGCTACTAAATTTTAAGTCGTGCTTAAGTATAGTTCTATCTCTACAAATTCTTCGTAAAATGAAAGAGATGGCACGATATTTGAGCACGACTTAAAATTAAGTAACATTTCAGTATGCCGGCAATACTTACCTAACGCAGTCCTTAGCAATTGTTTTCGAAATAAAATCGTTACTAAGGCATAGTTTGAGTAATCATTAAATGCAGTTAGATAGTTTAACGCCTGAATAGTGAAAAGCTACTCAATTTTAAGTTGAACTTAATAATCGTGCCATCTTTGTTATTTTATAAAGAATTCGTAGTGACAGAGCTATAATTAAGCGCGACTTTGAATTGATTAGCAATTCAGTTTTCGGGCAATAGTCACTATTATGCCAATTATTAACACGCTAAAATAATAATTTTCGCTTACATAATAACTTCTTTAACAGTGTTTTTATAATGACTATCGTGAGACATACAAAAATAACTAAAAATCGCGGGTTACTCACGTGAATATACTGAGAAAACCTACTAGTTTCGAACCACAGAGGGGTTCTTCCTCATGAGCAGCGCCGCGGTCGCGGCTGTGTCGCGCAGCCTACGAGAGCTTTTCTCAGTATATTCACGTGAGTAACCCGCGATTTTTTTAGTTAATTCTTTAACAATTTTCACATATAAAGTGGGTCTTACGCATTTAAGATCAGTGCGTTACCATAGAAATATAGTTATAATTAAAACATTAATTAATTTATGCTATAACCTTAATATATTGAACATCGACGCTTATTTAGTTATGGCAATTAAATAATACATTTAATTTTAGTTTATTTATAAATATTTTTATTTTCACCACTCACGATTTTGACATTTTGGGGTCACTTGGGGTCAATAGACACGTACTTTGTGGTGTCTTTTGACCCCAACTGACACTAGACACGCTCTTTACATGTGTTTTAAGAAAAATATTTATAAATAAACTTAATTCAATAAATTTAAAGCAATATTTAAATATTAATAAATTTTCGCCTAATTCTTTATTTTGGGCTGCTTTTATTAATAATATACACTTACATTTATTATAGTGTCTGTATGTATTGCTATGTTTTTTATCACAGTGTCGTGAGTGCGACAAAGTTGTGTTTACATTCGCGACTAGTAGTTGAGATTAATCGTAAGAAAATAATAGTATGTAATACATAATTTAGATATTAAGATAAGCATATCAAGGAACACAATCAGTTTAGTGATTATATGCAGTAGTTTCGATTCCCACACGCAAACTTTATAGAATCAACCATGCCTTATAAAATGATAGATTGTCTAGTGGAAATAGATCATGTAAAAAGTTTCTTCAAAAACGCAGGATTTTTTATTATTATTTTATCCGTAAACACGAAAAAAGCTTTCAAAATATTATCAAACGAAGTTTTAGTAAATATAATTTCAGTGAAAACGTCGCCAATCCAAACACAACTGTACGTCACAAATAATAAATCGTCTTTTCCAAATTGAAAAATAAATTTCATATAATCAGTGCATATGGAATGGTATTTTCATGAAAAACGAGATATGGAATGCCCTATACATTTACTAATAAATAAATTTTTCATTTAATTTCAAATAAATATTTTATATTTTACGAAAAATATATGAAACGACTATATAATAAAATTATTGTTTTCATTTAATTATTGTAATTTTGTACAATCACCAATTAATTTATTCATACCAAAATAAATTATCTGACCCAATTTTCGGAGTACATCGATCAATTTCGGAGTGAAACGGAGTCTTTAAATAAAGAAATTCTGTAATTGTAATTGAGAAAATATATTATAATGTTTGGTATAAATAAATTAAGTGATGAAAATAAATATTTTGATATTATTTTCATTTATACATAAGACGGTTGTAAAGATAGTGATTTTTATGATATATTTGATAAAAATTACACGTTTATGTAATGTAATGATAATATAAATCACTACCCTTACTTAAATGAATTCATATTCAATAACACGAGTCCAGTATTAAGTAGCAAGTACTTTAAGCTGTAATAACTAACACGATTTCAGTGATATTGTGAAATAGGTAAATACTATATTTAGGCATTTTACGCTGTAATAAACTGAGTAAAGGAGAATGTTCACGTAACTATGGAATTTCGTCTTACGTTGTTGCACAATAAATCTTTATTTATTATAGACCATCCTTATTATATTATCGAATAAAAGCGTTCATTTTCCCATAAATATCCGGGTTTTTAAGTAATTAGACAAAAACGAAAATAACCTAAAATTATGTTTAAACTGTCAAACACCGTGCGGTCACCGGTGACCGCAACCTATTGTTGTTTAATTGTGTCTATATACATAAAAACGTCTTGTCGTATGCTACATGGAACTCACGCTTATTTATTCAAAAGTTCAAAACAAACACTCAAACAGTGAAACAGAAACAGTTTTCCTTACAATCCAAATGCCGCCACTCTGTCTGTCACATGTTATGACAGTTGCTTCTGCGTGAGACGGAACACAAAAATAATTATAATTGTAACAATACTACAAAATACTAAATAAATACATTGTAAAATGTATTGATATTACAAATTATTTAGCTATTTATTGAAGTTGATATAATTTTTGTGATGATTTTGCCGAAAGGTTCTACTTACGTGATTCGTAAACACGAAGTTTTATTCGTAAGATAGCACGGAACGTCAATGTCCTTGAAACGGAAATTCCATAGCAATTTTTATGTTACTATTAATCTTATCATCATAATTCCGGATACGAATATATAATTCCTGAAGTGAAAAGGTTGTAAAAAATAAGAAAATTATTTCTATATTATTTTGATTTTTCAACTTGAAACTTTGCTAGACTGCTTTTGGTCAATCTCCTTTAAATTAGTATAACGAACCAATTTTAAAACGTATTATTATCTGTGTTGTGAGCTAACATTGTTAGCAATTCATAACATAACATAACATCACGCCTTTTATTCCCGAAGGGGTAGGCAGAGGTGCACATTACGGCACTTAATGCCACTATACAATGTAACACCCTCTTTTCACTATGTATGCATAAGTCCCATGTAATAGGGGGTGAGCCTATACCCTGCCTACCCTGCCTAGCCCTGCCATACCGGGCATTTTTCCAGACTACATGTTACTACTGAGATTTTTAAAAACCCAGTAATATTTTGCCCGACCCGGGAATCGAACCCGAGACCCCTTGCCCGGCAGTCGCACTTGCGACCACTCGGCCAACGAAGCAGTCAGCAATTCTTAAGTAGATAATCATAGATTCCGTCTTGCACTTGTCCCAAGTTCTTAAAAATTTCTACAAAGGCATAAAAAGCGAGTCTGTCGTCTCACATACGGGAGAGTTAAAGACGCCGAAAAAATACAAAAGAATTGATAAAAATCAACTCTAACATCACACATATTTTTTTAATACTGGATGGGTCGACGTTTGCCCGGTGATGATGCGGTCTACGATGGGACACGTCGTCCCTTAAGCAAGGTTGCTTATTCACTCGGGCCTTGAGTTATAATACCCTTTTCTCAAAAAATGCCCATTACAGTAACGTAAAATACCGTTAGCAACTAAAATCCCCTAAACACAGATTCATATCACCCAAAATAACATTGTACTTACAAAAAGCTATCATAACTTGTCTACTGAACACTGGAGTCGATGCTAAACGCCATCTGTTGTCGAGTAGCGTTATTTGTGTTCTAGCGAGTTATGTCAAACGGTTTTATTTAGCTTGCCCCGTCTGTCTGTTTGGGTCTTTAGTAATTGTAATGTCACCCCCTTCCTGACGATAGATCGATCTGATATTTGGTACGCACTCTTAATCTTGATGACCATACAATATAATCTAATTGTTTCCACAACAACCTCCATTATGGATATCAAAAAGCGCTTGATTGGTAGAAAAGAGCTCATTAAAACCGTTTAACATATTTTACGCCAGCGAAATTGCGTTTAACCCTATGATTGGTTAGTAAAATTTGGAATAGCCAATCAAAGCGCCGAACGTCATAAATATGTCGATCGCGTTTACATAAAACAAACTCGCACAAACTGTGGGATTGCTACAGTAGCGCCACCTACCGTCGAGTAGCGTCGTATTGTTTGACAAGCTCGGGGATTGCGTTCGGTTCCACTGGGACCTTCTGCATCAATTCCGCTAGACTTCGGACGTAAGATAGCTTGCGGAAGAATTTTGAACTGAGGGCAAACATATATAAAATATTAACAATAGTCATTATCGTACACCGGGCATAATTATCAATTTCATGTTATTAATAAAAGCTAAACTACACTGTGAGACCCAGGAATCGAACCCAAGACCCTCTCGTTTCCTTGTGACACGTCGACTAACGATGCAATCGATAGAAGGATCAATCAAATCGAGGACTTCGGTTCGATAACTAAGTAATGTAAAAATACGTTATTTCGATATAACCAGAAAATCTCGAAGCCCGAAATCTCCAGTCCTCAAATCTCAACATTCCAAAATGCTGATAACTATAAATAATAAAATGTTTATTTGGTGTAAAAAGCCAGATTAAATAAAATAACTCTTACTATCTAAACTTTTCTGGTGTTGCGGGTATCCATCAGGTGATTTATCTGCTCGTTTACCGACATATGCCATAAAATAATGAACCAAGTATGCTTACCTCACAAAAGGCTTTGTCAATATGACAAATGATTTCAGCCAAAACGTGGGATGTACTAGATATAGATGTTTCAGGCTCTTACGTAATCTAAAACAATATTAGATAGTTAATTTACAAATTATACTAAGATTTTTTAATAACTCACACAAAGAAACAGCAGTTTCTTAACCCCTCGAGCGTCCTTTTGAGCACCCGGTGGATCATAAGAAAAAATGCTCCAGCTGCTTTCTCTTTTATAAAATCTATTATTAATGTTTTGTTTTTATTTTGACTGTATTCGTTTTATATCCTTGTTTTCGTGTGCCAATGGCCAAATAAATGCATTTTCTTTCTTTCTTTCTCCAAATGTTACGTGTGCACCCGTTGGATCATAAGGAACGCGGACGCTCGACGGGTTAATTACTCAAATAACTGTTCCTTTAGAGAACCGAACCCACGAGTCGTTACAGCTGCCAGTCGCCAGATTACTACACTAACTGCATTTAATGAGAAATGACCCCAGTTTAGTTACATATTTGACCCCAATTTAGCGTCCAATAGACTCATTTTAGTGGCCTATTCCAATCAAATTCTAATAGTTTATTTAATTGACGCCATTTAGTGTACAATTGACCAAAGTTTGTATCTGACTTCATTTAATGACTATCAACAAGTTTCGTGACTATTGACCCCAAATTAGTGTCATTGACCCCATATTCATGACTATAGACCCCCAAAACCATTATTATTGTGTTTTATATTTCTTTTTGTTTTCGTTGTATAAGTTATTTTTAGTAATTTAAATATGTTTTTTTTAACTAGATTAAATCGCACTATCGAATTGGAAAAATCTTGTAATGAGAGTATAGAACATTGTTTTTATAATCTATATATATAAAAGAAAGTCGTGTTAGTTACACTATTTATAACTCAAGAATGGCTAAATCGATTTGGATGAAAATTGGTGGGGCGGTAGCTTAGCACCAGGAGACGGACATAGGATACTTTTTACCCAATTCTTTTTTTTTACTTTTTACCCAAAATCAAGAATGGGTACGGGAAATTTTGGGATTGCGCGTACGAAGTCGCGGGCAGAAGCTAGTAAATAAATAAAAATACCTTCGATCAATAAGTTTATAGCACTCGTGTAGCCAGTGGAAGGTGGGCAGTCGTCTCCTGCCGGCGCTGCCGTGGAGGTAGACCAGCACGTAGTCGTCTGTCACCAGGCGTTCTAATGTCCAGATCACATAGCTGAAATAAATAATAAAAATTACGTAATGTCCAAAAGGACTTGTCAAAAGTGATTGCCTGAACCGAAGCTGCGGACGAACTAGCAGGTTGCTCTGGCTACGGCTCTAAGTAGAAGTAGGAACGGGGTGGTGTTAGTCAGTAAGAGTCTGACACTCTCTCTCGCCCCAACAAAGGCGGAAATCATTGGATTACCTACAGCTACACCCCGCCTCCCTCAAAAAAAAGTTACAGGGTCAATTTTATGTCATGCCATAAACGACCTTAACATTTAGCTTTAAAATGGTCAATATTGCACTTTGCTCCTATTTTACATTAATGTTAAAAGGAAATTAAAGGTTGACAAGACCTCGATGTCACAAGTTAAATTAAACTGTCAAACACCAAGCGGTCACCGGTGACCGCGACCTATTGTTCTTTAATTGTGTCTATAAAACCGGTACTCGACGAGTTAAAATTGGTCTCATAAGTATCATGGACTATTAGAAGTTAAATCAGAGCAAAAATTGTCCTCAAGAAAATAATTAGAATATTAGAGCTATAAGCAATCTTGGTTTTCAAAACAACTTCAATACACTTAACATAACATCCCGCCTTTTTATCGGGGGTAGGCAGAGAGGTGCACATTACGGCACTTAATGCCACTGTACAATGTAACACCCACTTTTCACTGTTTATGTTCATGTAATAAGAGTGAGCCTATTGCCATATACTGGGCACGATTCCAGAAAAGCCCAGTAATATTTTGCCCGACCCGGGAATCGAACCCGAGACCCCTTGCCTGGCAGTCGCACATGCGACCACTCGGCCAAGGAGACAGTCTATATCTTCACTAATTACTTCTACCACTACTTCTATACAACTTCAATATTTAAAAGTACTTTCAATCGCAACATGAGTGATGTCCAAATACCCTAACGGTACTCAATTTAAGTCGCGCTTAACTATAGTTCTAACATAACATAACATCACGCCTTTTATCCCCCAAGGGGTAGGCAGAGGTGCACATTATGCCACTGTACAATTTAACACCTACTTTTCACTATTTATGTTATGAGACCCATGTAATAGGGGGTGAGCCTATTTCGGGCACAATTCCAGACTACGTGATACTACTGAGATTTTTTTTAAAACCCAGTAATATTTTGCCCGACCCAGGAATCAAAGCCAAGACCCCTTGCCTGGCAGTCGCACATGCGACCACTCGGCCAACGAGGCAGTCTACTTCTTCAATATTACTTCTACCACTACTTCTTTACAACTTCAATAATTAAAAGTACTTTCAATCGCAACATGAGTGATGTCCAAATACCCTAACGGTACTCAATTTAAAACACGCTAAAGTATAGTTCTGTCTCTACTAATTCTTTGTAAATTGCCAGGGATGGCACTATATTTAACTACAACATCAAATTGAGTAGCCTTTCAGTTTTGGGGCGTAATTATTTTTTAATATTCGCAAAAATTACAAATGACCCCAAAATATTCCCTAATGACCCCCAAAATATGGCAAACGACCCCAATACTTACAGGAACAGATTATCCATACAATAAGTATAGTCCGGTCTCGCACAGTCCGGTAGATGGCACGCGCTGAACACTATGAGCGCTGCTCCGCCTCCGTCGTAGCCGCCGTGGGATATCACACGCTTGTACGGTTCAATGACCTGTGACATACAGGGTGATTGAATATTAACTTGTTTTGTAAACATACCTGAATGTTATGGCTGGTGATGACGATGAAAACAAACGGATGATGATGGCCTGAATATGAGTGTGAAGTTTTTTTTATATTTTTGAAACGTCGGCCCATCAAATATAAAATATTGAGATCTATTTGTTTAAATCATAATTATTTTGTGTATGTAGTTTTAAGTATAGGCTTAATTTTAGTTTTGGTAATTTTTGTTTTATTTCTTCATACTATGTAACACACAGTGTCTTAGATTTTACAGTTTTTCCTGTCGAAGGACTGCAGGAAGAGATTCCTACGGGAATATGTAGTACCTATTTACCTCCAATCTATTTATACAGGGTGTCCCTGAAGTCGACGATCAAATGGCACCAAGTGATAGGTAAAGTTCTAAGAGATATCAGAAAAATATTAAAAAAAAATCTAAGTCTTTAAATTGCAATGAATTATATGTTATCCGCGAAAAAGTACCCCCTGGGTCAGTCTTTTGACTCATATTGCTACAGTTATACATTTTGTGATTTGTATTTTCGCATACGTTATCCTATATAGTGCTTCAGTATTATGGAATCATAAATTCTGGGCCAAATGCTTTGGTTTGGAAAAAAATACCATTTTTGGACGAATCAAATATTCTCAATAAACTTTTCGCCTTACATTAACCCATTTGGATCCGCCGTCCCCATATGGGGACAGGTTTTCTTTTACCCGCTGGTTATTAATTATTTTAGCTATCTTCACATTTCATGGGTATTTATAATGAGGAGTAGTGTACTTTCCTAAAATTATTAGAACTTTTAACAAATTGCTACAACAAAGGGGTCATATTGTCAATTTTATCAAGAGGAAGTGAAATGGGAATTATTATCAAAAGCAGAGGCGTTTTGTAGTACGTTATTATAAAGATTTATAAAACTTTTTTGTGATTATTGCTTGCTTATAGTGTCAATAAAAACAATATTGAAGAATATCCTTATACTTTCAATTCCGCTTAGGGGAAAGTTAGAAAAAATGATGGTGTCCCCGTATGGGGACAATGGGCACATGTGTAGTATATTTTTAAAACATTTATACCTGATTTGTATTTTGTTTTCCAATTTATAAAGGTCACCTATAGGCTAAACTTAGTTATAGCTAATACTTGGTGACAACAGACGCTAATTCACGAAGAGCATCACCAATTCCGCCATATCTTTACGCGTTCATATTCTAAAATCTGATGGGCATCAAGACCGAAGATGCAAAAGTCCACCTACAGTACCAGGCGTCGCATTCGATATCAGAATTCAGCAGTAGGGGGCATTTCATCCAGCTGTATTCTGGTGTCGTCATAGCGAAGTCCACCCAGAGGATAGAGTAGCATTATACCCTGTGTACGTTGACCACCGCCGTGTCTTCAGGGAAGTGATCGACGACGATAATCTTCCACGTCCAGCTTAGGTTCTGGCTGTGGTGCGGAGCGAGGGGAACTGGAAAACATCTCTTTCTGCGAAGCAGTCATAGTAGCAAGAACAGATCGCCGCCCAGAACCAGACATGTACCTGTAAGGCACGTGGCGTTACGCGCGCGCTTCAAAGTGCAGATCAGACCGCCTTAGATCGAGATGGCTCAGTGGGACAGATGCCCGACTACTATGAATAACCTAGTGGGTCACCGCGGCTTCGGCTTGAAGCAGAATTAGGAACGTGTTGGTTTTTAGCCAGTAAGAGTCCCCCAGGTGGAAAACACAATGCATGATTTTTACCCTCAAAAAAAATATAGGCGCGTCACATCAAATTGATTTAGACATTTTCCGCAGAGATTTAGTTAATATCTGTTACGACACGCAGTTCGTCATAAAAAAACTGTGATATCAATGCAAATAATGCGTTAGAACCTTATGTGTCGAAAACAGTTACTACTTCGAAAAGTACTACACATGAGCCCATTGTCCCCAATCAAGGACGGCATTTTCTTTAATACTTCTAAAAATATTTTTTGAATTTTTTTTGCTGATATTAGTTTGTGGGAGTCATATCATTGAGTTAATAAAGTTTTTTTTATTAAATTATGTGTAGTTTGCATTTGGTCCCAAATGGGTTAAGTGATTGTACTAAGCTATTAGTGGCAAAGTTGGCGTATTTACTAAGGATTCTAAAATGGTATACCACTCTGAACATTATTACTTAAATTCGACAGAAAAAAATATTTTTCTGATAACACTTAGAACCTTGGCGATCACCTGGTGGCATGTTTTTCACTCTCGTTCTTCTCCACTCGAATCGACATTTTGGAACGAGCGCCTAGCTTCACTGACGGACAGACTGACAGATTATTATTTATTTTATATTTGTTGACGTTTCAAAAGTACCAAATTATGGTTTAATTGAAATAAATGCTTTTGAGTTTGAGTTTGAAATTTGATCGTTGACTTCAGGGACACCTTGTATATGTATTCTCCTGAGTACTGTCTATGTTTTGTGGGTAAATTAATAAACAAATAAATAATAAATAAATAAAATGTACACTGTCACCAGGTGGGAAGGACAATGATGTTCAGTGGATAGAAATAAGATGATCACGACCAATAGGACAGACAAGAAATAGAAAGAGAGTCGTCTTCTGCAAACTACACGTCTTCCGACCGAAGATGAAGATGATGAGGAGACTGACCTTCATATCACAAGTGACATGTCCCCCAGGTCTGGGCACAGTGATCCAGGCGCGCTCGTTGCTCAGCTCCTCCGCCGCGGAGTACTCCGGGATGGGGTCGCTGCCTTCTGATAGCGTGTTTGTTGATTTTGACCTGGAAGCAAATGAAATCTATATATATAAAAGAAAGTCGTGTTAGTTACACCACTTATAACTCAAGAACGGCAGAATAAATTTGGCTGAAAATTGGTAGGGAGGTAGCTTAGAGCCAGGAGACCGACATAGGATACTTTTTGATCAAATTTTTTTTTTTTTACTTTTTACCGAAAATCACGAACCGGGACGGGAAAAAATGGGATTACGCGTACGAAGTCGCGGACAGAAGCTAGTTTATTTAAAAACTTTACTGAAAACAAGCTTAGCATTTATGGTTATGCAAACTGTCGCGGAGAACCTAACGGGTAACCGTGGCTCCAGCTCGACGTGCAGGAGAAGGAACAGGGTGGTTTTTAGCCAGTAAGAGTCTGACACTCCCTCCCACCTCACCCGGGCGGGAGCAGACATTCGATGATTTCCCCCCCTTAAAAAAAATAGTTTACCGTGTATACATGTAACATTTTCAAAATATCAAGTGTGGGAGAGCCATGTTTCCGCACGAATGGGCCAGCTCGACCGGAGTGATACTACGGCCGAGAAAAAAATCAACGTGAAACAACGCTTGCTTGTGTTTCGTCGTGTGAGTGAGGTTAATGGAGGCCCAATTATCCCGCTCCCCTTCCCCAATCCTTGAATCTTCATCAATCCTAAAATTCCTAATCACCAAAATCGATACCGGCCGGTAACTCACTCGGTAACGCATCTGACTTATGCCATAAAAAAAACAGCTCAATCGGTTGAAGATACCTGCTTTAAAATTTAATTGCAAGATTTCACTTTACACACATACATACATTCATATCGTAGTTTATCGCTGATTGCTTACCATCAGGTGATCCGTCTGCTCCTTTGACCCCTTAAAATAATCTATACTTACATTTTACTGCCCTCATCATCACTAAGTACCAGGTGCTGGTTGATCGGCGCAGTTCCCAACTCCTGAGGGTCTGCTGGTTCGTCTTCAGACTCCATGGAGCACGCGCTGACGCTGTCCAGGCTACATCTGTCTTCTTCTGGGGGCTGAGAGGTAAATTGAAATTTTACGTTAACGTTGGCTCTGGCGTGACGCGACATGACATGTCATATTATGTTATACATAACACAAAACGAATGTATAGGACTGTTCAACATGAGGTCTTGGGTTTTGTTTTGTTTTTAAAGACGTTGCCCCACACTAGGATTTTCTAAACGTATGTTATAAACGCACTCACGGCACAGGAGAAAATCCTGAAATGTGGATGTGAACTTGTATAAGTTCACATCCACAAATGACACCCAGACCCGAAACAACAATTTGTGGATCACACAAAGTGTTGTTCCGTGCGGGAATCGAACCCGCGACACGTTGCTGCTGCCGGTTGCCCAGCCACCGCAGTTTGATTCCCCAGTAGGAAAAAATAAAATGTTCCAATAAAAAAACTGTGTCTGGTAAAGGTATTATATGTTAAACTGTCAAACACCAAGCGGTCACCGGTGACCGCGACCTATTGTTCTTTAATTGTGTCTATAAAACCGGTACTCGACGAGTTAACAAGGATCTATTTAAAAATCGTTGGTCGATGTCATTTTTTTACAATACCCAGTACACTAATTTCGTGTATTCAAAAATCAGACATAACATAACATCACGCCTGGCAGAGGTGCACATTATGGTACTTGATGGTACTGTACAATGTAACACCCACTTTTCACTATTTATGTTACGAGTCCCATGTAATAGGGGGTGAGTCTATTGCCATATACCGGGCACAAATCCAGACCCCATGCAACTGCTGACATTTTTTTAAAAAACCCCAGTAATACTTTGCCCGTCCCCCGGGACCCTTGCCAACGAGACAGTCAAAAATCAGTTACACTGAAAATACTAAAAAACTTGCTAACTAAGGAATCGCACCTACACCGCTTCCATCAGCTTCTGCCCACTCAACCCACAATCTTACGACTTCACAATAGTATACGTGACAACTGTCAGTATGTATGTCACAACAATAATAATAATAATAATAATGCTATCCGGGATGTAGACAAATCCAAGGGAATGAAGAACCTGTAAGGATAGTACGAGGAATATTCCAGGGTGACAGCCTGAGCCCACTATGGTTCTGCTTGGCCTTGAATCCTCTAAGTACTCTACTGGAGGATTCAGGGCTAGGCTATCCTTTGCGGAAAAGGGGTCTAGTTATATCCCACTTACTTTACATGGATGACCTCAAGTTGTTTGCTCCAAACAAGAAACAACTGATGGAACTACTGAATATAACTGAAAAATTTAGTAGTTCCATCAGAATGGAGTTTGGAGTAGACAAGTGTGCGGTCATGCATGTAAAGCGAGGAGGGATTGTGGAATCTGAGGGACTAGAACTCTCAGATTTCACAAAACTGAGATCACTCTCCGCAAACGATACATACAAGTACCTGGGTATGTCAGAAGGATTAGGCATTAATGGACCGGACATGAAGCAATCGCTACAGGAGCGCTTCTTTGGCCGCCTGAATAAGGTACTAAAAAGTTCCTTATCAGGCGGAAACAAGGTGCGAGCCTTTAACGGTTGGGTCATGCCAGTCCTAATGTATTCTTTTGGTATACTCAAGTGGACACAGACTGAACTTGACACCCTGGATAGACGAGTCCGGACCCTGCTGACTGCAAATCGCATGCATCACCCTCGTTCGTCGGTCATGAGGTTGTACATCCCGCGGAAGTGTGGTGGTCGAGGCGTATTAAATGCTAAGACCCTTCACAACCGTGAGGTGTGCAGCCTCAGGGAATATTTCCTGAAAGTCAACGAGGGTATGCATCGAGAAGTAGCAGCGGTGGACAATGGATTTACTCCGCTATCCTTGGCAAAAGAGAACTGGCGCAAACCTGTGGTACTGAGCGTCAATGATCGCAAGGAGGTATGGCACAGCAAGGAGCTCCACGGACGCTTCTTCCGGGCCCTTCATGGGCCCAGTGTAGATTTTCTAGCGTCCGTATCTTGGCTACGATTCAGTAATCTCTTTGGAGAAACTGAAGGATTTGTCTGTGCAATTATGGACGAAGTTATCCTTACGAATAACTACCGGAAATATATAATTAAGGATGGGACGGTTGACATATGTCGGGCATGTCATAGTCCTGGTGAATCCATTAGACATATTATTTCTGGTTGTGGTCGTTTGGCTAACAGTGAATATTTGCATAGGCATAATCAAGTAGCCAAGATTATCCATCAGCAACTTGCTTTGCACTATCGACTTGTTGAGTCTGAGGTACCGTACTACAAGTATGTGCCCGACCCAGTTCTGGAAAATGACCATATCACGTTGTACTGGGACCGGTCTATCATCACTGACAGGACTATTATAGCCAACAAACCTGATATAGTGGTGATAGACCGACAAGTGCGCCGCACGATGATAATCGATATCACTATTCCTCATGATGAGAACCTCGTGAAAGCTGAAAAAGATAAACAAATCAAATATCTTGATTTGGCTCACGAGGTTGTCGACATGTGGAATGTAGATTCGGCTATCATTGTGCCGATAGTCGTGTCGGCCAATGGGTTAATCCCTAATAGCCTCGACAACCACCTTAGGAGGCTAGCGTTAGGCAGTTGGGTCAAGGGCCTGATACAGAAGGCAGTTCTCCTTGAAACGGCACGTATCGTGAGGAGGTTTCTGTCTCTGGAGCCCTAACCACCGGTAGCTTGGACCATGCTCCCGCTACTGGTCGGCTCCTATTTTTTATATTTTTAAATATTATTTTTGTCTTTGTAAGTAGTATTTAAAAATGTATTTTATAGAGAATTTAAAATAAATATATGGAAAATAATAATAATATAATAATATAATAATATATCTTTATTTGCTAGAATGTAGGTACATAAGAATAAGATGGTACAATATGTTGTCACGGAACCTTATACATTCGGCCTTGTTGGCATGCAAATATATTTCTTACAATTAGGTTGAAAAAAAAATAATAATAATTTATAATTTATGGTGTATCATTTAGGAAATCCTGCACAGAGTAATAACATTTATCGACAAGTAATTCTGTAAAACATTTTTTAAATTTCAGAACAGGTAAGTTTTTAATTTGGTCAGGAATTTTGTTGTAAATAATAGGGGCCATACAGATTACACTTTTTTTTAGTAGGCTAGTTTTGAATACACCTGTGGATAATAGGTTCTGATATTGCGATCTTAAAGCTGTACTACGCTTTCTGGTTGCAGATACTGGTGTAAATAAACATCGGTTTGTTATCACATACATTGCTAGTTCTAGGATATAGAGGCATGGAAAAGTTAATAATTTCTGAGACTTAAATATAGGTACGCAGCTGTCAGTTACTTTAAGGCTAAACATTGCTCTCAAACATCGTTTCTGGGCTTTAAAAATGCTTTCCCGTTCACTACAATTTCCCCAAAATACTACCCCAAATCTTAGAATGGATACAAGACCATGATAGGCTGATAGCACTGTTGGCAGATCGACTTTTTTTGTTAGGTTGTGTAACATAAACGCGGCTGTACTTAATCGTTTGCATATATCTTCTGCTTGTGGTTTCCAAGTTAACTGGCTATCAATTAAAATTCCTAGGAATTTTGCACTTTTTACTTTTTCTATTATTTGGCCATTATAATTGATATCAATGTCTACTGTAGGTGTCCGTTGGTGAAAATGCATGATTTTAGTTTTGTCTAAATTAATTACTAAGTTATTGTTGTCAAGCCACTTTATTAAACTATTGATTGAATTATTGATATCTGCAACATATAAGTCTTTATTGGTACATGAAACAATTGAGGTGCTATCGTCTGCAAATAAGACCATAGGGTTAGATATATTACGTGGCAGGTCATTAATATATAGTAGGAATAGTAAGGGTCCGAGGACGCTTCCTTGTGGAACGCCATATTTTATTTGTTTGAAAGAGGATAAAGATTTGATTTCCCTTTTGGATTTTAGGCACAGGCTAGATATCTCCGTACATTGTCTCCGACCTTTAAGGTATGTTTTTATTAGATTAAGGGCATTGCCACGGATACCATATGCATCAAGCTTGGCTAGCAGTACATCGTGGTCCACACAGTCAAAAGCCTTCGACATATCAGCATATATTGCACATACTGGTATTTTACAATACTACTACGTTCCCACGATCGGAACGCAAACACATACCTACTAAGTAACTAGTTCATTTGTAAGTTACGTACAAACAAACCGTGTTATATTTTTTGTTAGTTGTCAGTTACCACGTTACTAGCTACTGCCACCGGCTTCGCTCGATAAAAACTACACATCACACATACATCAATATGTGTCTCAATCCTTACTAACATTATAAATCGGAATGTGAGTTTGTTTGTTTGTTTGTTCCACTTTCACGCCGTAACTACTAAACCGATTGCTTTGAATTTTTGCAGACGTGAAGTTAGAATTCTGGATTAAAAAATAGGGTACTTTTTTTCCCGGAAAAATTTGATATTCTCGAGGGAAAACGAAATTATTGGTATAGATGGCGCTGTGTTTATTGGTTCATGTCACATAGGCTACTTTTTATCCTTTTGTGACACGAGCGAAGCCGCGGGTAAAAGCTAGTTTCATATAATTATAGAAATGTTAATAAATAGATGTAAACAATGTATTCAATTAACTCAATAATTTTGCATGCCGTAAGGCAAAATGTACCGGGACTCACAGCCTCAGACCGAATGAGGCTAAAGCCTTTGTAGAATATATCATCAACAGCCTATAAATGCCCACTGCTGAGCAAAGCCTCTTCTCACACGGAGAAGGTTAGAGCATTAATCACCACGCTTGCTCAATGCGGGTTGGCGGATGTTTTCCTTCACCGTTTGTTAGTTCGTTGCGTCTAAATAATCTTAGAAAGTACATATAACTCGGAAAAAGTCACATTGGTACTTGCCGTTGGTAGGTTTCGAACCCGCACCCTCATGCATGAGAAGCGGGCCTCTTAAACCTCCGGGCCACCACGACATTACGATCTGTTGCGATCTGTTGGCGGGCGATCCGCGAACCGCGGCGGTTATTTTTTTCTTCTCCTCTTATAATATCTTCTGATTGACTTCGTTGCGGGAACCAAGACAGTTACTCATGTCCCTGGGACGCGCCGGACTTCAGTGTTCCGGTGTTTTCATGGTTGTATCTACTGTAGATTCTGGCTTACAGGAGTTGCAGCGGTTATGGGACGTTGTGGCGGGCTTGTCCGAAAATAAAAAAAACCGCGGCCGCTACGGAATCGCAGAAAACTGCGGTCTAGTAAGTTTTGAAAATGCCACCTCCATTCCGCCACCTTCCTTAGCCTGAGTCAGGTATTTGGTGAGTGGTATTTTGTGTATTCAGCCTTTATAAATTGCAGGTCTTACCAGTTGTATCTTCCTCCGTTGTGTTCCTGGACTCCGGTGAGGTGCCGGTGTATGGCGCAACGCGACGCTGCCGGTGTAAGGGTCTAGGAGCGCCTGGTACGCTGACCTATCCTCTTGTGTCGATGCTGATATTACATCTGGGGAGTCTAGATCCTGAGAAAATAAAATAAAGAAAGTTTAAAGTCAAAATATACTGTTTAATATTGGTTAATATTGTGTTTGACTGCACGGTTGGTGCGGTGGCTGGGCAACCGACTGCCGTGCAACGTGTCGCGGGTTCGATTCCCGCACGGAACAACACTTTGTGTGATCCACAAATTGTTATATCTGGTGTGGGTGTCATGTGTATGTGAACTTGTAAATTTGTAAACGCACCCACGACACAGGAGAAAATCCTAGTGTGTTTAATTTTAATAAAAAAAAACATTTATTTTAATCAGTCCAATATTAGATGCTTTGAACGTCAAAATACAAACTGGCTGTATTTCACCAACAACCTCTGAATCATCCCTTAAATAAGAGTTACTTAGTGTGTGAGACCACCTAAACTAACCCCCAACTTGTACTGTTAGATGTCTTTTATAGGAATGAAACCCAGAATGTCTTGTGTCAACTACATTAGCTCAGGGATTACTTATCCCTGAGGACACGGTGGAACACACTGTACGGCAGTGTAGGGGCATGCCCTGCGTGGACTGGGCATCGCCGTGCCCTCGGGTATATGATTGGCGACGGCGACCTCTCGCGTCGGGCCCTAGTCCGGGCCATGATACGGAGCGAAGAGGCCGTCTCCTCCTTCTGCGAAGCAGTCATGCTAGCTAAGGAGGAGGTGGGGCGCCGTGAGTCAGCAAAGCGCTACCTCCTCACAGCCCAGCCGTCGCGAAAGACACCCCGGGCGTCGGGGATTGCGGGACGATCTCTGGCCACCGTAAACACGGGCCTACGGACAACGAGCATGAGTAGCTCGCCGCCCGACCTGAACCAGACCCGAGCGTAAGCCGCGTTCCGCGCGCGCCTCAAAGAGCCATCAGACCAGAACGGATGGGGCCCAATAGGGCTGATGCCGATACGAAGCCACGGAGAACTTAACGGGTTACCGGCGCTCCGGCCCGAAGTGCGAGAGTAGGAACGGGGTGGTTTTTAGTCAGTAAGAGTCTGACACTCCCTCCCGTCTCACCCAGGCGGGAGAAGTCATTCGATGATTTTCCCCGCTTAAAAAAAGGGATTACTTATAATTTAGGTTGCAGGTTGATAAAAACGGGCATTAACATAACTAAAAGCATAGACATATACTAATAGACATGCCTTAGAGATGAGAGTTGTGGCACTCCGAAAGAATGAGAGGAAACGAAGTTTCGGTCTATCTTTATCTCTCTCAATATAGTGCCATAGTTAAGACGTTATGAGCGAGAAAGAGATAGCGCTAGACCGAAAGCATAGGCCATCTCTCTCACTCTTTTCAAACCAAAAAATTATTGCAGATTATACGCGTACGGCATTTCCATTAGTATATGTCGATGACTAAAAGTCACTTTACGAGAATTTGAATGTTCTTGATAGTACCTACTATACACTTGCGACATCATCATTAGATGATTAACTATACAATATTCTGCAAGTCCGGATGCGATCAGAATCCTGTACGATAAGTGAGTCATAGCTCTTTTAGTTATTTATTTATATGTTGGTCGCTATAATCGGGTACTTGCCAACTAGTCAAATTCAATACTTTTTCGAACTGTCAAAAACGAGAGTTTTCTATGAATTATGTACGACATTGTGTATTGTAACGTCACGTTTTTATAGCGTCAAACAGTATAGATACTTATTTCTTAAAAATTTGCTGAAAAAATATTAAAATAAAGTTGGTCATAAAATCAATGAATGAAAGCGTGATTATTTTTAGAATAGAATAGAATAGAATAGAATGTCATTTATTTCCAAGTATATGGTACATTGAGGTTTTACATTAAATATTGTTTCACATACACTACCATTGCTGGTGTAGAAATATTATGTTAATCATGCTTTATAGAATAAATTAAAAAAAAAATAATATTAGTAATTACAATAATGCCAAGCAAATTGATTCAATCACACATCTATGATTTTGCTTGGTACATGACAGTAAATAGAAGTATCAGTGTTATTTCCATCAAAGTGTTAAAATATTTCTTATAATGTTTAAATGCTAAATACAATGTCAATATGTCAAAACGTATATTGTCAGAATACTAAAATAATTATAAATACTAAAAATGATTAAAGAAAAATACATAATAGGTAAGTCATAATATACAATATTAATCAATGTCAAGAAAATAAAGTTCAATAACAATAACAATATGTCAATATTTCTGTAGTCATATTATGACAATGTTTGTTAAATATTCTTTTATCGAATAGTATGCCTTTTTTACAAGAAATTTATTCAGTTCTACTTTAAACACATTGATTTCCCTGGTTTCGAGTAAATGTTTAGGTAGTCTGTTATATATCGATGGTGCCATCCCTAAAAAGCTCTTGTGGAAGATTGCTTTCTTGTGTTGTCTATAACGGATTTTATTTTTGTTACGCGCGCTTTTTAATGTTTCAAATAGTCTAGGGTTCCCTTTCACAAACATTGCTACCTCATATATGTACAGACATGGTAATGTTAATATACGTAATTTCTCAAAATACGGTTTACAACTGTCTGTTGTTTGAATACCGCATATTGCCCTAACACATCTCTTTTGCTTTAAATACTATGTCTGTATTCGAGGAGTTACCCCAGAAAATAATACCATATCGTAATATCGATGTTACACATGCATGATACGCCGTGATGACAATACTCTGGTTTACTTCTTTTGCGAGTTTGTATAGGGCGTATGACTGCTTATTCAGTCGCTTACATATGGTATTTGTGTGAGTTCGCCATGACATGTCTCTGTCTAGTTCTATTCCTAGGAATTTCGTGGATACTGTTTCTGCAATTATTTTGTCTTTGTATCTAATGTCAAGTTTATTGTGATTAGTTTTTTGTTCAAATGTCATTATTTTAGTCTTGTCAATGTTTATTTTTAAATTATTTTCGGTCATCCATTCTATTAATGATCCTAAGCATTGATTTATCTCTGTTTCAAGTGTTAAGTCATTATTATTTGTACTGAAGATCACTGTGCTGTCATCTGCAAACAGGACCATTGGATGACCTGTTATCTTAGGCATGTCATTAATATAAATGATAAATAAGAGGGATCCCATAATGCTGCCTTGTGGGACTCCATAGTTATTTTGTCTCTGATTAGAAGTATATTTTTGCTCAATTTTAGTGTTACTGTTAATTTTATTTATTTGTGTAATCTGTTTGATAGATATGATTTAATAAGGTTGAGGGCATTACCCCTCACTCCATATCGTTCCATTTTATTAATTAATATTGTGCGATCTACAAAATCAAACGCCTTGCTCATATCCATGAATAGAGCAGCCACCGGATTCCTCTCATCCACACTCATGATAATTTTTTCATATAATTGTAGAATTGCCAAGTTTATGTTCTTTTTTCTCCTAAAGCCATATTGTTCATCTACAAAAAGATTTTTATTTTCAAAGAATGAGTATATTTTATTATAGATGACTTTTTCTAATATTTTGGAAAAAATTGGAAGCAATGCAATAGGACGATAGTTAGATGGGTCCTGTTTGCTACCTTTTTTAAATATAGGCTTAATAACTGCCAGTTTTAGTCTGTCTGGAAATACAGCTGTTTCAAAACACAAATTAATAATATAACTAAGTACTGGTGAGACAATGGGAGATACACTTTTAATTACACTTGTTATGATCTCATCATAGCCAGAGCTGCTTGTATTATTTAATGATTTTATTAAATTTATAATGTCATTGGGAACTGTTGGAGTCAAGAATATGGAGTCATAATGCATATCAATTTTATAAGCTAAATTATTAAACTTATTTGTGTCAGATTGAGATTCAATTTCGTCAATAAAATAGTCATTCAGCGTTTGAGCTATGCTCTTTGGATCAGTTAGTACATTGGTGGCTATTTTAAGTTTTTCTATTCCTTCTATAGGACTGTCATTTTTACTCTTATTTATAATTTGCCACGTAGCTCTACTTTTATTACTAGCATTGTTAATAAAGTGATTGTTTTGAGTTTTTTTAGTGAGACGAATAATAGTTTTCAGACGCCTTGAGTATACTTTAAATAGTTTTCTACTACTGTGTTTCTGATCTTTCCGAAATTGATATAGCATTTGACGTTTTCGTTTGCAGCACAGTATAATTCCTTTACTAATCCATTTGGGTTTATTTAAAGTACACCTTTTTAATTTTTTAAGTGGAAAGCACAAATCATAAAACATTTTAAAAGTATCATGAAAAGAGTTAAATGCGTCATTTGCATCTGTGCAAGAGTAAACATCATTAAATTTAATATTTCCTAAGCACTCCCTAAACTTCATTATATTATCTCTGCAATAACTACGTCTAAATGTATACCAGTATGGGAGTTTGCATGTTTTATTTATAGGGCATTTCATGAGTTGCGCTGTGTAGTCTGACAATGCTAGTTCGATTATGTCACATTTACTCGTCTTAATGTTGTGAATTATGTTATCAATGCATGTACCGCTACCGAGACGGGTGGGGTTGGAGACTCCTATTGTTAGATTAAAACCTTCTAATAAATTTTGAAAACTATGGGAAGCATAATTTTCTTTTAAAATGTCTATGTTAAAGTCCCACATAAAATAACTTTTTTTTTACGTTTCAAGCAAATTTCAGTAAGAATCATATTTAAATTGTTCAGAAATGAATTTATTGAGATTTTATCATTTTTAGGAGGTCTATACATACATAATATGACTATAGAATGAGTCTGCAGTTCAACAGCGCAACTTTCAATTATATTCGATATACACCATTTATCTATTTCGATTTTCTCACCCTTGAGTGTATTTTTTAGTAGAATACATGAACCCCCATTTCTAGCATCTCGTGCGTAGTAAGATTGAATTTTATAATTTTGTAGATGTAGATTCATAAAATCATCACTCTTCATATTTGTTTCTGAAATGCATACAACATCAACGGGCCTACCCTCTTCCAAAAAATTATTCAAATGTATACTTAGTAAGTCCGACTTATTTATTAGTCCATTTATATTTTGATGTAGTACAAAGATATGTTCATACACGAAAAAGACTATCACATACAATGTCAGAATCAATGAAAGATTCCTGTTGCGTTATATTTACTTTACAATTTATGCATTTGTATCGAGGGTTATACAATTTAAAATCAATTATTATGTTAGCCATTATTTGGCTGTAAATATCTCTCCATCCATACTTATTTTAATATTTTATTGTATTGAACAGTCGAAATAATTTATTTTTGATTTAGGAAACTACTTAATTTGGTCATCGGGATGAAATTTGGAACCCCCAGTTCCATATATATTATGGTTGGAAATAACACATAGGGTACTTCTTATCCCGAGTGAACGCAGTTGAAACCGCCGGCAAAAGCCAGTCAAAAATAGAATTGTCTGTCAGTCTGTCCGTATTGAAGTTCGGTGTTCATCTGGACAAATCTACATCTACGAACGAACGGACGAGCGGTTTTGTCCATCTTAATTGCGGTCTTCTCTGGAGAAGAACCCAAGCCGCGGGTTAAAACTAGTCGTTTAATATTATTTTTATCAAGTATGTTAAACATTTTATATGAATTTAAACCATTTATTATTACCTTTGAGGAATGTATTTTACGTAGTTATAAATGTAATTTTCAATGAAAAGAATTTAATAATAGAAATATAGAACCACACATAACATAACACAACATCACGCCTTTTATTACCGACGGGGTAGGCAGAGGTGTATTAATTAATGTGTACTTTACGGCACTTAGTGCCACTGTACAATGTAACACCCATTTTTCACTACATATTTATGTTACGAGTCCCATGTAATAGGGGTGAACCTATTGCCATATACCGGGCACAAATCCAGACTCCATGCTACTACTGAGATCTTTTTAAAAAGCCCAGTAATATTTTGTCCGACCCGGGAATCGAACCCATGACCCCTTGCCCGGCAGTCGCACTTGCGATCACTCGGTCAATGACGCAGTCCAATAAGAGTTTTTTTTATACATAATAGGCTGACCGAAGTCATATATGACGGGAAACACAGACTCCAAAGTCAAAATCATTTATTTCAATTAGACGGAACGGCACATTTGAACGTCAACAAAAAAAAATTTAGAAGTGAAGCTAGTTGCTCATTCCAAGGTGTAGATTCCTATGGAGAAGAACGATCAAGAAACTGCATAGGTTTCTCTTTTTCAATCGGGTTTACAATACAATTCACTAGTTACATAGTTTTATTGTTTCGATTGTGTGAGAACAATTCAACACCTAAATCCAGTCAAAGAGATTGAAAAAGAAAATAACCTTGAGGATAATAAAATGATACAGCCTGGAGCTGACCAGTTCCAATTGACGGTGCCCGTTCAAGAACATTTTACGTACCCCAGCACCGCCCAACTCAACCATTATGTAGGGAATCAAGTGATCCAATGCCACCGCCAATGAGATCTTTGAGTGAGCACGACAACTCCAAGCTCCGGCAAGGAATTCCATTTCTTTGCGGTTCGCATGAGGAAGCTTGACGCGAAACGCTTCGTGCGAATGGGTGGAATGTTCACCAAATAAGGGTGGCGCTCTGCCGTTCGTGGTACGGTGGTGAAATACACTCAATGATAAAAATTAATTATCATACATACTATGAGTTATTTAATCGAATATAAAAACACTTACGTTATGCATTCCTATACTGCTGGACATCTCGATCGGCAGCTCAAAGTTGGGCATCGACCTGAGATGGGACGGAGATTCGCACCACTCGGCAACCTGACAGACGAACACATACCTATCAGTGGAATCTAAAAGATTTCTAATATCGAGATATGCAGTAACCTATATTACTCTATAAATGCTTAGTTTTTTTATTGCATAAGCTGGTAAACGAGCAGACGGATCACCTGATGGTAAGCAATCGGCGTCGCCTCAGGGACACCTGGAACACCAGAGGCGTTACAAGTGCGTCACCAGCTTTTTGGGGATTAGGAGTTTGAGGATCGTTGGGGATTCAGGGATTGGGGAGATTGGGGAAGGGGAAGGTAATTGGGCCTCCGGTAACCTCACTCACACGACGAAACACAACGTAAGCGTTGCTTCACGTCGGTTTTCTGTGAGGCCGAGTTTAACATGGCTAAACAATTTATTTTTAAATTTGTTTATTAGTTTTGGAGATTAACTCTTCAATACAAATGAACATCTATTGTTGAATGGAGGGCGGTGGCTATGCTATGAATCTTATGTAAGAGATGGTGAGCCTATTGCCATATACCGGGCACAATTCCTGACTCCGTGCTACCACTGAGAATTATTTTAAAAACCCAGCAATACTTTACCCGACCTGGGAATCAAACTCGAGACCCTTGCTCGATCACTCGGCCAACGAGGCAGGCATTAAACTTATCAATATTTCTTTTATAAATTACGTCTAAAAACCAACTTGAACCCCACCCTCTTTTTTTCTAAATCGGTTAATTAATATATTAAAACCTTCTCCTAAGTGTAATAAACACTTTTGTGAAAACCGCATTGAAATCGGTTGAGTCAATCGCGAGATAATTGCGCACATACATACATACATACAGGTCGAATTGAGAACCACCTATTTTGAAGTCAGCAAAAATGTCGACCAAATCACTACTCCTTAATAAAAACCACAAACTCACCGAATGAAACTCCTCATTGACAGTGATATCAACCGGCAAAGACTTGGGAGTACTCTGCTTAGTCTTCTCATCGATAAACTTCAACATAGCATCCACCTTCTGAGGCGTCCCATCTCTTAACTTCGGCACAATCTTCCTCCGTTCCATCTTATCCACCCTCGCCACATCAGGGGGCACTGTGAGATCCAAACCAGTAAAATCTTGACTTTCAGCCGTTACGAAAGGATCCGTAAAATACAAATTGTTTTTCGACGTATTCCTTTGTGGGCTGTAGAAGCCATTATTCTCATTAGCCCTCTCATCTTCAATACTCGATAGGCTCAAGTCTTTTTCCTCATCGATTTTCGGAACTTTTTTGGGGATCAGATCCGGATAATTCTCATCCGGACTCATTAGGGGGTGATTCGTGGTTAAAGTTAAAGTTGAACTAAATTTTGGGGGACTAATTCCTAGATTCTTAGGTCGAGGTGAATCTAAGTGCAAATTTGACATCTTAGTTATGAGGCTATCGTTAAATTTATCAGATTCTGTTAAACGATGGATTTCTGGGTTCTGAAGTCTTAAAACCCCATTCGGTTCTGGATGGTCTCCCTCGAAGTCTGATGATAGGACTGAGTTGGGTGTATCCTGGGATCGGAAGGATTCTGATCCTGTGTCCATCTTCTCATCAGAGGATGGTGATGTTAGTTCGTCGTCATTTAAGCGCAATGTTTTGAAGTTACTGCAACAAAGAGTTTACAATTGGTAAAACAATAGAAGGTTATGGCTAATTTTTGAAAAGAGGAAGAAATATTGGCTACTTTTATCAATCTCGGGGGACATATTTAATTAGTTTTACGGCATTTGACAAGGCAACAATGTCAGGACGACGGCAAAAACATCGTATGTCGCTCAGGACTATGAGCCCCAACGTGGTTTGAAAATGGACGTGTTTTTTTAAGGGGGGAAAATCATCGAATGACTGCTCCAGCCTGGGTGAGGCGGGAGGTAGTGTCAGACTCTTACTGAATAAAAACAACCCCGTTCCTTCTCCTGCACGTCGAGCCGGAGCCCCGGTTACCCGTTAGGTTCTCCGCGACAATATGGAAGTGTTGCCTTGTCAAACAGTTAAGTGAATAAATCTTACTAATATTTATAAATCTGAAAGTTTGGAGTGTATGTTTGTAACTCAATTACGTCAAACTGAAGGGATCGAGATGAAATTTGGAACAGGATAGATTGTGGTTTGGTATAACACATAGGCTTTTTATCCCATGGGAACGCGGGCAGAAGCGAAATCATAAAACATAATCAAAGCAATGAATTTATAGACATCAAGTAGGATTAAAACTTTATACAACTATTGAGAACAAAAAATCGGTCTGGTATATGCACACTTATCGCGAACTGCAGTAATATTTACTGAACCGGTGACGCATTCTACAAACTCAGTTCAAAGTACATTCATATCATCCTTACTAATATTATAAATACAAATGTATGTTTGTCTTTTCTCACGTCACTACAGAGTGATTTTATTGTGTGACCAGCTGTTGCCCGCAACTTCGTGCGCGTAGAATATGAATTTTAGGACCTTACTTTTTTATTATAGCCTATGTTACCTACTCTATACTACGTCATCCTTATAGCCCATGTTATTCCTTAGTACATCAGTTAACTTCCAATAAAAGTCCGTCAAAATTGGTCCAGCCATTTCAGAGATTAGCCAGAACAGACAGACAGACAAAAATTGTACAAAATGTTATTTTGGTATGTGTATTGTATGTATATTCATATGAATGTAGTAATAAGCGGTTATTTTAACATTACAAACAGACACTACAATATTTTTTTATCCTGGAGATAGTTGAGAAGCTGGAAAATGATCTGAATGATATAAGGTATCTCTCTCTAATTTGACCATGCGAGTGAAGACGCGGGTAACAGCTAAAATACATATATCAAAAGCTCATGACAGTTCTCTGCTGGATGTGTCTTCTTTACATAGGGGCCGGCTTCAAAGCCTCGAACACAGGGCGTAAGGTTGCAAACCTTACAGTCTTCTACCGGATACATTTCACGTGTGCAGGGGAATTGCACAACTTGATTTCCCCTAGTCCTTTCCATTATCGTACCACAAGACAATTTATCCACACGTACGAAGCGATTCGCATCAAGCTTCCTTGTGCGTACTGCTAAGGAGTATTTTTGCCAAAGTCTGTATTTCCTGAAGGGTATAACTCGGGCCTTGAAGGCCTGGGAGCCTTCAAGGCCCGAGTGAATAGGTTGCTTATGGGTCGACGTTATTTTCTTTTTCGATCTCTTTGACTGGATCTTGGTGTTACATTGTTCTCATACAACTGAACCTACAAAACTATGTAACTGGGGAATTGTATTGTGAATCTGATTGAAAAACAGTGTCCTATGGAGTTCTTGCTCGTTCTTCTCCATAGGAATCTACACCTTGGTACGAGCAAATAGCTTCACTTTTAATATTTTTGCTGACGTTCAAGTGTCTTTGTGGTCTAAAAGGTAATACATAAATGCCACAAAAGATTTTTTAACTTAATGCAGTCATTTAGGATTTTTTGCGCATACAAACATTTCCGCGAATCGCTTTTATTTGTATAATAAATTAGATAGATAGATGATGATTCACGTTGTTTGTAGGTCAACGGTGTCATGTATATTTGACATACATATATGTATGTATGTGCCATGTGTTGACAACAGTAGACTACATATTTTGTCACCACCCCTACTTACTCTCTTCCAAGGGTGTCATAATCGGAGCCACGGAAGACTTAACGAGTTGCCGGGGCTCCGGCTCGAAGTGCAGGAGAAGGAACGGGGTGGTTTTTAATCAGTACCTAAGAGTCTGACACTCCCTCTCGCCTGACCCGGGCGGGAGAAGTCATTGGATGATTTTCTCCCCTCAAAAAAAGGGTGTCTAATAAAGGAATCGGTTCACATTTGACACAGACTAGGCTGTTGCCTGATAAAGCTGAACTTTTAAATACGATCTCCATCTCGCCTGAGGATCGGACAGATTATGCTAGACTCCATTAATCAGAGGAAGTCCACAGCCCACCAGTGGACCATCACGAACTATTGACATTGACATAACACAGGATACTAAGTTTGCCAACACAGATAATCTGTCTATATATCTATATGTAAATAAAATTGAATTTCCGTTCGTTAGTCTCGCTATAACTGGAGAACGGCTGAACCCATTTGGCTAATTTGGTCTTTAAAATGTTCGTGGAAGTATTTGGCGGAACGAAGTGTGCTGCTGTGCATGCTTTGGCACGAATGGGCCGGCTCGACCGGAGTGATACCACGGTCGAGCAGAAAACCGACGCGAAAAAGCGCTTGCCTTTTATTTCGTCGTGTGAGGTAACCGGAGGCTCAATTACCTCCCCTCCCCAGTCTACCTTATCCCCGAATCTTCCACAATCCTCAAATTACCAATTCTCAAAAGGCCGGTAACGCATTTGTAACGCCTTCGTGTTCAAGGTGTCTATGTGCGACGCCGATTGCTTACCATCAGGTGATCCATCTGTTCGTTTACCGGCTTATGCCATAAATAAAAAGTTTGCCGAGTCAGCTAGTATTAATATAAAATTAGATTAGAACATGTGTTAATGCGCTTTTAACATGTGCAGTGTCAAGGGCAGACGCTAACTGCGCAGGGGACATTACAGTACATCTGCGTGTACGCATATTGCACTGTAATCTTTACTTTTAGTGTTAGATCGAGTACCATGTAATGAGGTGTTATGTATATATTATTAAGTGAAAGGACAGTTTTTTTAAGGGGGGCAATCATCGTATGACTTCTCCCGCCTGAGTGAAGTGGGAGGGCGTGTCAGACTCTTACTGACTAAAAACCACCCCGTTCCTTCTCCTGCACGTCGAGCCGGAGCCCCGGTTACCCGTTAGGTTCTCCGCGACACGACAAAAGGGATAGAGGTCAAATATGGTACAGATCTACATCTGTCACATACATATGCCATAAAAAAATCTACATATTTTATGGCATATGTATGATAAAAAAATCTACATTTTTTTATGGCATAAGCCGGTAAACGAACTGACGGATCACCTGATGGTAAGCAATCGGCGTCGCCCATGGACACCTGGAACACTAATAAACGCGAACACCAAAACCTCTTTTCTTGAAATCGGTTAATATACTAAAATACTATACCTTAACCTAAATGTAACAGTTTTCAAAAAACCGCATCAAAATCGGTGTGGCCAGTCGCGAGTTTACCGTGCACAAACATACATTCATTTCTAAATAATAACCTTTTTTTTAAGACGGTTAAAATACATAATATATTCTTCATATCGTAAACAATGAAGTTATAACCTCGTACATAAGCCGTCGTAAACGTCAGGAGAAAGTATACATATATGAAGAACAATAGTTCATAAGTTACCATATATATACACTTTCAATACTTAGGGAACTACTTTCTAAAATATCTTAATTGGCATTGTAAACAGGTGCTTGTGCTCTGGTGAAGGTTAAGTAGAACATATTTGTCACTCTTTCCGCGGGTATTGTAGGTTTAAGGGACAAGCAATTTTGCAACCGAATATTTTTTTATCTTACAACGTAACATCACGGCTTTTATCCCCGAAGGGATAGGTAGAGGTGTACATTACGGCACTTACTGCCACTGTACAATGTAACACCCACTTTTCACTATTTATGTTATGAGTCCCATGTAATAGGGGGTGAGACTACTGCCATATACTGGGTACATTTCCAGACTCCGTGCTGCTAGAAAGAAAGAAAGAAAGAAAGAAAGAAAAATAATTTATTCGCCACCGACATGGACCACCGAATAACACACAAAATAATAACAAAATAACATTGAAAAACAAAAAAAAAAAAAAAAAAGAGATGAGATTTTTTTTAAAAACACCAGTACTTTACTTTGCTTTTTGGAGATAGGTTAATAAAATTGGTAATTACTAGTCTAATCGGAATCACTACATAGGTAGTATAAAACAAAGTCGCTTTCCGCAGTCTGTGTGTCCCCATGTATGCTTGAATCTTTAAAACTACGAAATGGATTTTGATGTGGTTTGTAGACATAGATAAAGTGATTCTTAAGGAACATGCATAATATAGTAGAGAAACACTGATAAATTTAGAGGTTTCTAATGTGATGTCGTAAATAAGCACTTTTTTTGCGCTTATATTGCAAACGCTGGCTGAACCCTACGAGATAGACCAAAATAATGTACTACAGTATTGATCACCTTACTTGTCTAATGACAAAAAAGCTGTGAACATTGTGTATAAGGACAATCTGTAGTAGGTATCCTTACTATATCCTTACTATCCTTACTATATAATATTATAAATCTGAAAGTGAGTTTGTTTGTTTGTTTGTTTGTTCCACCTTCACGCCGTAACTACTAGACCGATTGCTTTGAAATTTTGCAGACGTAATGTTAGAAGTCCGGATTAAATAATAGGGTACCCCCTTAATTTTTAACCTGGAAAAAATTGATATTCCCGAGAAAAAACAAAAGTATTGTATAGATGGCGCTGTGTGTATTGGTATATGTCACATAGGCGACTTTTTAATCTCTTGTGACGCGAGCGAAGCCGCGGGTAAAAGCTAGTATTTATATAAGCATTTCCAAGCCAGGCCGGGCCGTATATAATATAATAGAGCTGAAGATTGAAAGAAAGAAAAGCTCAGTGGCGTGCCATTAGGGAGGCCTATGTCCGGCAGTGGATGAGAACAGGCTGTTGATGATGATGATGAATAAAATAAATAGATTTTGACTATAAATGGTTTAAGAGAATAGACGTAGGTATGTTTATGTCTCTTTTAAATGTGCTGATATATCACACCGAAAATCCATACAAAAGTGGTCTCTAAACATCGGAAATAAGGGCTATAATGGTCAGTGGAGAGCGGTCACCGATGACCGCTTGGGGACTGGACAACACAAAAACAGTTTTGAATGAACTCTGGTGTAGAGATACTTAGATTATATTGTAGAACATAATGAGGATGCAAGCGAACCCACTGCCAGTAACTAGAGTTTAAATAAATAACATATTCCACAAAAAGGTAGACAGAGATGCACATACACAATCTAACACCAATTTTTCCTCATTTACATTCAGTCCCATGTAATAGAGAGTGAGTCTGTTGCCATATACCGGACACAATTCCAGATTCCATGCTGTAACTGATAATGTAAAAGAAACAATAAATAAAAGAAAGAATAATAGTTTGCCTGATTTGGAAATCAAACCTTAAACGTTTATTTTCCAAGTTCACTTATTAGAGAGACCTCTGAGTTTGTTTCAGAGTAGTCAGATAGGAAATATCTACCTCATCTATCTTAGTTTCGCAATATATGCGTGTAAAAATGCTATTTTATAGTCTAATAGCAGTAATATACATATTATCTACCATTAAAGTGTTAAACATTTTATATGGACCTTTCTTACTTATAAGTACCACTATACTATGTATTTACCATGAGAAACCAATAAAGGAAAAAGTAAAACCAGTATGCACGCTTCTATTAACACTTTTTCCTCAAGATATAATAAAATAAACAGCAATTGTGGGTAGCCAGAATCAAAGGTACTAATTTAACTTTTACACAAAAAACCTGTTCTAAAATTACATCATACGTTCTATAAATAAGCAAGCGCATCATATGCAAAAAAGAAATTAAAACTTAAGCACAAAATGCACACGAATTCAAGGAGAATTGTATAAAATATCGAATAACTAATCAAGATTGACACTTCACTTTTTAATTCCAAAAATTTAAGTATTTAACTCGTTTAATCAAATATATTAAAGTACTCACCTCATTTGTAACTTCGTGGGCTTTACAATGATGTATTATTTAGTGGTAAAAAATGTATTGGACTAATATAAAAAAAATATTTTGTATCGCACGAGTGTCATCGAAAATCGCATCGCTACCGTTTTGACAGCTAACGTTTCATTTTACGATTTCATGCTAGAAATCGTTGTTTATGTTAAGGATGCGTTCAAGCTAAACTAAAACAAAGTTTTAGGGATCAGTATGCACTTTGAAGCAATTTTCTATAAACAATACGTATTTTGCATTATTTGAATCACTGAAATAAGTAAAATTGAATGACACATTATGTAACTATTGTGCATTCAGTACTAAGAACAATGTGAAAAAAATGTATATTTTAGTACAAAACGTCACAAAAACTCATAAATACTACTACACGCTCTCAATAAAAACATAAAATAATACTGACCTGATGAATAAGGCTGGATTTATAACACAACAATGAATGGGAAAGACAATGGTCAAGTTCTTAGAACGTAACTTATGCAACTGAAAACACATCGCGAAATCGGCCGCAAAGTACACAACAAACTGTTTTTCCCTCATTTATCGGCAAACTTGACGATTGATTATTGTTCCGCGATTTATTAGTGGTGCTACATTTACAAATTTTAAAATGGGTAAGTCCTTTAATTTTATTTTAATGTAATAAGTCTCTATTATTTTTGTGAATCCAGATGCATTTCGTCAAAATGAAATTTTATTATCAAGAAATAATTCCTTAATTGTATCTAATTAATCAAAAGTCGTTGCTTTAAAATAAGATCAAGAGATATGATTCTAGTGATTGTTAAAGGTAAACAGATGAAGTTCACACAGAACTTATTAGTCTAATATTTTTGTGATGATCCGGTTTCCGTGTTTTCAAATCTGTGTTGTGAAGATTTGGATTATTATGCAAAACATCAACGTGGATTCACACATTTTATGTTTGTTGAATTTTTTCGCGGAAACGCGAACATGTTTCTCCTTTCTAGACGGTGTCATCTGGGTGACTGTTGGATGACTGTTTTATAAATATTAAACAAAGAGAAATGTATTTCTAGGCCGTGATGCACAAATTTGACTTAGTTAGTATTAAGAGTTTGAGAGTGGAAGGTGTCTAAAATTGTATTACAGGTGAAAATCAGGTTGTGAAAATGCAGCTGGGAGCGTTAATTTTTTTAATATACCTCGTATTTCCCGCCATATTTGCTGAGGATGTAAGCTGTAAGTTAAATGTTTTATAATATTTTTTATTAAGATTAAATGTTCAAGTTACATTTCTTCCAAAAAATTCAGAATTCTGACAACGCAAAAATATTTTTTAAATGTTTTTAAACTTTTAATTCAAATTATAACGTTTTCAATTAGATTTTTTGTTACTACAGCAAGTAGGTATCAAATAACCCATAAAAACCGAGGTCTTATTAATTTTACTACATAAAAGGCATACAATCGAAATCGTTGTCTAAGTAAGAACCATAGTATTATTGAGCTATTGTGTTCTATATAGACATTATAAAAAGTCCAGCTAATTAACAATAGTGAACCTTGCAGTTACTCTCATTCATGACCAAACATCGTGAAATAAGGAAGTAAAATATCATTTTGTGACGTGTAAAATATATTAGGTGGGCTCATTATGAGATTTAAACCACTTATTGATATTTTAGTAGGTATGTAGTTTATAGCCCTTTTCACACGCTCCTGTTTCTGGATAATCGGTGTCGGGTAACTCATGACAAAGTGTTACCAAACAAACCATTAAACGTTAGTTTTCCCAAATAATACTTATGATACTTTTTAAAGTACACTGGATCAGGCACCTGAATCCCCTTAAGTGGGTAAGGGGATCCAGGTGCCTGAATAAATCAAGTTTACAAGTTATTTTCAAGTTATGTTTCAAAAACTATTTCAAAATGTGGCTGAATGTTTCAGACCAAGCGTGTGTTGATAAATACTCAAGAAAAGGCTACCAACCTTGGCAAGAATGGTCTGATCATTACACGTGTCATAGATATAGATGCGAGATACGAGATGGGAAGTACTTCATAGCTGCTGTTGGGTAACTACTTATCTGCGGAAATTAGTAACTAATCTTAATGCTAATTCTCTGGATTAAATTAGATTTTGACTAAAATTCAATAAAAGTATTGTCGAAAATAAATCTCTATTATCTTTGGCTTTGAATCCAAATTCGATCGATTTGGTCAATAGAATTCGCATTAACATAAGTCATTAATTTCAGCCGTAGGTATTTCAGCCGTCTTTATCAAAGTGGAAAAATGACGAAATTTTCGATCAAGCATTTCTTTTCTATCAGTTTTTATATAAATTAGTCCGATGTATGATCTAATCTCTTTGCTATCTAGGTACATGATAGTTTTTTAGTTTTTTGATGGGCTGACATTTGACCGCTATCTCGCATAGTGGTAAGCGATAATGCGGCCTACGATGGAGCACGCCTGCTCATAAGCAACCTATTCACTCGGGCCTTGAAGACACTCACCCTTTATAAAACACAGACTCTGGCAACGAATTCCACTCCTTAGCAGTACGCACAAGGACGCTTGATACGAAACACCTCGTGGGTGTGGTTGGGACATCCACCATAGTGCATGCATTATCATTTTCCATTCCAATAAACGTTGCATATAGTAGCAAGCTACATGGAAGCCGGAGCCTAGTGCCATACACTGCGCACTTTTCCAGACTCTGTGCTCTTACTGTTTCTTATAATTTATCGGAAAACCGAAAAACTCCAGTACCTCTTCAGCTCGGCAGTAGAACTTTCGATCAATCGATCAAAGAGGCAGTCTTTTCTAATACTAATCTTAAATTGACCCTTCAGATGTAGAAAGCCGAAAATACCCGAGAACGCATTGGAATGTCATGAGTACATTGAAGACGAGAATGTTGGTACGTATTGAATGTTTATTTATTGGATAAACTATTTCATATCAACAAGATATTGTTTACGTATATAATAATTCTTCATTTCATTGAAAAATAATGATGATTGTGACTTACTCATTACAATTTTCTCATTGGTACAGAGTTCCCGACTTGCTGCGCTCGTCTAAGGTGCGTCGTCGAAGTAAACGGTGAAAGAATTGTACAAACAAGAGGCCAACCAGGTGAACTCTTCCCTGACAAGTAAGTTTTTTTATCTGCTGGATAAAACTCGCTTTTTTAATCAAAGGAATAATACAAGTCCGGCTTATGCAGAATGTATAGATTATAGATTCAATATTATAAACGATGACTTCTCCATTCTACAGGCCATGGAAGGGCCAACAGAACGAGCCCAACCCCGCAGTCGTGGGAATGAGCGGCATTCAGCAAAACACTGTCGGAGGTGAGCCACAGGGTCAACCCGCGCCAGGCATCTTCAACAGTAGAGGAGCAGGCAAGGAGAAGTTGTTATTAGCTCTTGATTAGAACGCCTCCTTGAAACTTATTCGATCAACTCTTACTTTACAAATTATTGTAATAGTAAACAGACCACTAAGCATATTTTTGACATACTTTTAGTGAATTCGTACGTTTAGTGCATTTTAAATATATATTCTTTATCAATGCAATGTTTAATATTAAGCCATGCTTAGTTTTGCGTACTATAATAGTTAAAAGTCCTATTTTAAAAGTCGTTGATCTATAAAGAATCAATTTAATATTTTATTAGTTTTTTTAATGTTTTAACATTTTGATTCGCAACTTGTTGTTAAAATAAAGCATTTTTCTACATTTTCTAAGTTTCATTTCTATTAGACGTAAGTCATACAAATTGCGAGTAGTTAAACGTCAATATTTTATTAATTTAGCCAACGATATTCCCGACAGCGGATGGCAACGATATTAATGGACGGCGCTACGTAGACCCTTACCCCAACCAACCTATGCAAGAGTCACCGAGAAAGAAGAGATCTACGGTCTACCCACTGTTCGATAAGACAAATGGCCGTGATTCCAGCTCTTACCAACTTCACCAAGTCAAAATACACGGATATTCCCCTGAAAAATATACTTCCTACTTCACTAATAATAATCTTAAAAGTTTAACGAATCCTAAATTACCTCTCAATATAATGTCATAATTTTAAAGTACGTATTTATTTTGTTATTTGTAATATTGCACAATATAAATAATGTTTACTAATATTTGTATAACACTTGTTAGTAAGTAGTTTATACAATAGTAATGCAATTTCACTTTATTTTTATCGTTGTTCTGTTTTTCTTTTTTTGTTATTATGATGAAGCAATTTGTTAACCGCTGTATTTTGTTGAAACATTATTAAATGTTTGGTAAATCTTATGATTTCAATTTTAAATTATACGGAACCCTTAACACTAAAATATTATTTTTACAGCAATAAAAATATTGACAAACGTTGGTGTAAAATGCATCATCTGTCAAGATTACAGGAACAGGTCTCTAAAGGTAAAATGTTAAGCATCACCATAATATGCTATCTCTCTCACACAATATCAACTCATATGTACTTGTCTCTTTTGGACACGGGACATGGTTCGAATAATTCGAATTTATAATTTTGTGTGGCTGGAACGCGAATGTCAAATCAAACTATTTTCCGGATCCCGGAAGAGAATCGAAACACTGCAAAAGAAGACTATTAAATTATGAATTTTGTTTTTAATTACAATTACATACATACATAAATAGGCAAAAGTGAAATAATTTTTACACTACAAGTGACATTCTTTGTATTTTGTTTACACACCACAAAATTGATTAACAATAAGATTGCTTGAAGAATGTAAACAGGGAAAAATTTGACGATTAATTGTATTTATCAGTGCAAATTGTAGTTAAAAATGGTTGAACCAGCGAAGCCTTTCGCCTGTACGTTGCCTGACTGCGGCATGACATTTACAAATGAGGACCATTTACATGTACACACAAAAAAACACGATATGGTGTTATCTTTGGGGATGGAACAAAAAGCAGCATTCGTCGGTAAGTCGATGTTCTAAACCTCTTAACCATCCTCTTTGACAAGTAACTCGAACAAGTGGGCTAAAAAGTTCTCTAGTGTTACTCTTACTAGACTCAAACAACAATTTGTCTATCAAACAAAGAATTTGTTTCATGGGCGAATTACCATCTAACACGCTAACCATTCAAGCAACATCATTACGTGAATTTTATGAAATTACTCTGGATAATTAATTAGTTAGATAATTTTTCATTTATTAATTCAGATTTTTAACATCATATCGTAACATCTATACCGGTAACGGTAGTATGTGTGGAACTTTGTCAATTTTAAGATCTGTGTGCACCATGCACTGAGAAATAAATGACATTCATTCATTCATTCATCCTGCAGGACCTGCAGATTAAAATCATCATCATTATTATCCACTTCTTAAACATAATCTTCTTCACTGTTGGGTGGTGGTTGTCAAGCTGTTGAGCTCAATTGTCAGCTCTTCATACTAATCAGTGCTCAACGCTTTACTTAAGCTAAGCTGTCTTCCATAAATCCTATCCTACTAACATTATAAATATAGAACTTTGTAAGGGTATGTTTGTTAATCTGCACTAAAAGGTTACTAAATAGATTTGAATGAGATTTGTGACATACATAGATTAGAATCTAGAATAACACATAGACTTCTTTTATCCCCAGAATGCAGGCAAAACCATTGGCAGACGCTAGTATTTTTAGATCACCCTGATGGTGAGAAATTGGTGTCTCCCTTGGACACCTGGTACGCCAGAGGTGTTACAAGTGCGTTACTAGCCTTTTGGGGATTAGAAGTTTAATTGGGCCTCCGCTAATCTCAGTCATGTGACGGAACACAACGCTAGCGTTGCTTCACATCAGTTTTCTGTGAGGTATCACTCTGATCTAGCCGGCCCATTCGTGCTGAAGCATGGCTCTCCTACACTTTTAGTATACTAATGTATCCTATCATCAAAGACATTAATTAGATATTTTTATTATCTTTTATTGATGATTCATATTTATTTGATGTTCAACTTTGAATTATCAAAATAAATGATTAGATAAGTTGAAATAACTCACTGCTGGTCAGCTATATTTGTTTATGACATAATATTGATACTTATTACCCGGCGAGCATGCATGAAAAGACTGATGACTGTTGATGAAAAAAGGTATGTAAGAATCGTAGCAACTGGCATCCCATAGTTTCTGCTTACCCCCATGGGAGACAGGCGTGAAGTTATGTATGTATGTATGTATGAATAATAATGATAGTATAACATCACACCTTTTAATATTAAGTGAGTAGGCGAAGTCACTGGATGATTTTCCCCCCACAAAAATAAAAGAGGGACATAATAGGGTAGATTCCAAAATTTTATTTTAATGTCCGTCTGGTAGATTAATTTAAATCTTAAGACACGTATTTTTTTCTTTTCTCACAAAATGATGATCCTATCACATAAGTCGGCCCATACCCTGCCTGTATACTAAATTTCATCAGAATCCGTTCAGTAGATTCAATGTGAACGACGATACGACCTTCAAACCTTCAAGAAAAGAGCGTATTCCTTTTTAAAACGTCGGGAATTCCGGTGACTCCTTCGCTTACCATAGTTACCACCAGGGTACTTACTCTTGAAACCAATCTCAATGTCAATGCAATTTCAATCCAATAAAATCACAATAATTATTCAATGTCAAAACTATATAACCCCTATTATAGCTGTTAAAATAGTATTCAGAGTATAGAATATAAAACCAAACTCAATACCATTTAGTTCATTCAATATCCACGCAATACGGATGCAATGGGCGCTAGTGTTGCGACTCAAGAGTACGAAATTTCACAATACCAATGTCGATCGATCGGAATTGGATTCAAGAGTAAGCACCCAGGGCGCTTACTCTTGAAACCAGTCTCAATGTCAATTTCAATCCAATAAAATCTCAATAATTATTCAATGTCAACTCTATACAACCACAATCGTAGCTGTTAAAATAGTATTCAGAGTACGGAATATAAAGCTAAACTCAATACCATTTAGTTCATTCAATATCCACGCAATACGGATGCAATGGGCGCTAGTGTTACAACTCAAGAGTACGAAACTTCACAATACCAATGTCGATCGATCCGAATTGGATTCAAGAGTAAGCCCCTAGGTGATCCGTCTGCTCGTTTACCTCCTATTCCATAAAAAAATAAACACCTAAATAAAGAAACGTTCATATTTACAATATTTGTGTGTTTCAGTACGTCGTGGTGGCCCGAAGGTTTATGACGCACTTCTCATACATGAGGGTGCTGGTTCGAAACCTACCAACGGCAAGTACCAATGTGACTTTTTCCGAGTCATATGTACTTTCTAAGATTATTTAGACACCACTGACAAACGGTGAAGAAAAAACATCGTAAGGAAACCTGGACTTATAATTTCTAACTATAAGTTTGAAATCACCAACACGCATTGAGCAAGCGTGGTGATTAATGCTCAAACCTTCTCCGTGTGAGAAGAGGCTTTGCTCAGCAGTGCATTTATAGGCTGTTGATGATATGTGTTTCAGTGCATTAAATTATGTCTTTCAGCTGACCAGACACCCACACCGACTCGTTTCATCAGGAACTGTGAGGAGGTGGGTCTCTTCCAGGACCTGCAGAATGTCAACCCGTTTGATGAGGGCTTCAAGAGGGCTATGGAGGCGAAGTAAGTCCTATTACCTACGTCTTTGGGATTAAAAATTTGAAGATGGAGAAGTCTTTCTCTGACTAATTACAAATCACACAGTCCAGGCGGTCCAGGGCTAGAATAGGGTAGATGACTAATTTATATTTTAATGTCCGTCTGGTAGATTATTTTAAAACATTAGACATTATTTTTTTTACGGAAACGAATACTTTCGACCATATATTGATTTGAAATGTCGCGTGACGTCACTTCTATGTACATTTTATACGTAGAAATAACGTTTTAGCCTACACTCCTCCTTAGATAATCCTCTAAGTACCATCTTATTATTCGACGAAATAAAGAAATACGTATCTAATATTTTTTCATTGCCTAACTGACGGACTAATTACATTTTTAATTTTTATACCCTGTCATCATCCCTATTGTCGACAGAAATCGGTCGCTAAATCAAAAATACCGCTAACAGATTTTGACTTTTATTTTAAAAGAGATAAGGTCTAAAAAACGTAACAAATTCATAATTTGGCAACCGGATTTTGTCGTTTTTATTGTCGAGTTATGTGCTACAGTCCTGGTACTAAAGAAAAAACGAATAAATTGCGTAAACTAAGAAATGATATGGATAAAAAGCTCAAAAATAGTTTTACCTAACCCGAGATCTCTTGTTCAGTAGTTGCCTTTTCGTCAACTTGACTAACGAGTCTTATTGTGAACTAGCTACTTCCGCGCGGATTCACACGCTCTGCTCAGCTCCTATTGGTCGTAGCGTAATATTTTATAGCTTATAACCTTCCTCAATAAATGGACTATCCAACACAAAAAGAATTATTCAATTCGAATCAGTAGTTTCGGAGATTAGCGCATTCAAACAAACAAACAAAAAAACAAACTCTTCAGCTTTATAATATTAGTATAGATGATGTCTTTTCCCCCCAGGCACGGAATCCTCTCCCTGGAGAGTGCGCTCGCGTCCTCCTCGGACGAGCTCCACACTCCTCAGATGGTGTTCCCCACCATTGACGGAGACTCCGCCCTCTACAGCACCACGAATAATCAAAGGAACATTACTATAAGTCGGTTAGTATTAGCTTTTAATATCCTATTCAAGTTATTTTGACTGCTCGGTTGGCGCGGTGGCTGGGCAATTGACTGCCGCGCAATGTGTCGCGGGTTCAATTACCGGAACAACCCTTTGTGTGATCTACAGTTCGTTGTTTCGGGTCTGGGTGTCATGTGTATGTGAACTTGTATGTTTGATTTGATTATACCTTGCCCGGCAGTCGCACTTGCGACCACTCGACCGACGAGGCAGTCATGTCACCAAACTACATACGAGTAATTAACCCACTAAAATTACTTCCTAACAGCTCGTCAAGCGACGAATCAGGTGCAGTAAAAGAATTTGAAAGAACAACAATATCTAAGCTAACAAACGAAGTGACAACTATTAGCAGAATCGTGGGCAAAGCAGAAGAAAAAATAGACGACAGAAATAAAGATAATAACATAAGGACAGACTCAGTGTCGTACACAACAAATAATGTAATAAAAATCAGTAACATGGTACGAAAAGACAGCATAGAAAAGAATCCAGTACAAACTCTAATATACGAAGACACAGTCATACACGATAGCAATGTTTTGTCGGAAAAAGTCCAAGAAGTACCCCCGATTATGAGCCAAAAGTCCCTAGATTTCATCGTTGATAGTTTAAACAACGATTTCGAGGACACTGCTAAGAAAAAAACGAAAAATGACGCCGAAGATTATGAAGTTATAATCAAACTGCCGGGAGGGAAACAAGTGAAAATGAGAGCCGTCGAAGAGATAGATAAAGACAGAGAGAAAGTGTCTACGAAGGAGATTTTGAAAAAAGCTATCACTGAAAAGGTTGAATCTAAAAAAACTCCACCGAAAACGAATGCCGTAAATCTTATTCCAGTTAGTAATGTGCCTATAGTACCTGGTACATTCATACCTATAACGTTTGTGCCTCAAATTAATCAGAAAGTGCCTATAACTCCAATCAATGTTGACATAAAGAAGCCGGTCAAAAGAAAGGTCCGGTTCGATAAAAGTGACAACGCTAAAGATGCTGGAACGGTTTCAACTGAGAAAAGTGTTAGTAATAAGAAGAATAGTTGTCCTAAAGATCTCGATAGTCGGTCAGCTGCTTCAAGAAGATATAGGTAAGAATTCTTTTTATTTTAATACACATTTTACTCCTTCCACGCGGTTTCACTCGCTGCTCGGCTTTTATTGATCGTAGTGTGATATTTTATAGCCTTCCTCGATAATAAAATGGGCTATCCAACACAAAAGTAATAATTCAATTCAAAATACTGATTGGTATTCACTTATGTGACATATTCATACTACAAACATGTTTACATACACACACACTCACTCACTCACTCACTCACTCACTCATTCACTCACTCACTCACTCACTCACTCACACACACACACACACACACACACACACACACACACAAACACACACACACACACACCCACACACACTTACTCACATACATACACACACAAACGCCTGCGCGCGCGCTTACTCATAGAAGCACACATAGGGACAGACAGACGGCAGAGAACGTCGTTGTTTTATACTATGTAGTGATATAATATAATATACCTATTATAATAATAACATAACATCACGCCTTTTATCCCCGAAGGGGTAGGCAGAGGTGCACATTATGCCACCGTACAATGTAACACCCACTTTTCACTATTTATGTTATGAGTCCCATGCACTGACCTCTATATAATTACGCTGGACTGGCTATCGCTGTCAATTTTTTGTGCCTATTTGAAAATCGCCATTTTGGCGCTGACGGCATCAGTGAGGGGGAATGGAACTAATACTAGTGATGTACAATAGATGGTTTGTTGTCGATAAATATTTTCTGATATCGACCCTAATGAAAGAAATATTACCGACGCTATTTTTGTTACAAATTTCCTATAAAGTAAATTCGTTTAGGTAAATTTTATTAATATGTAACATTCGTGTTGTCTTTTATACATATTTTTAAAATCATGAAATATGTTTTATATTATAGACTTACTTAAATTATAGATATCTAGCTTTTGCCCGCAGCTTCGCCGGCGTACATAAACTAAAATCATTAAATAATAAAATTCTGTTAAATAGTAAATTATGTACCTCTAATATTATCATTGTGCACTCTTTATAGGAAGGGATTAATTTGTTAGTTACTAGTTAGACCTACAGCTACCGCATGTCGCCATGTGGTATGAGACACAATAACTTTCTATTAGGTCCGTAATTATGGCAATTAACTTATAACAACTTAATTACCGCAGGGGAAGGAAATAAAAAAGCATTATCAAATCACATATTTTATTAATTAAAAAAATTACTGTCGAGCCCATATTATTTGTCGAGTCAAAAAATGTCTAACCTTCTCTCCAGTTATACATAATGAATATTTTTTTGTTTCTGCGTACAAACGGATGTCAATATATTTTGTTATTATTTCTTTTAAAAGAATATTCAAATGACTATGAAAGTTGTCTGAGACATAACTATCTCTTAAATGATCTTTTAACTCAGGAAACAGTTCATTTGTTTTCGTTAAAAGGTTTCTTATTACCTTCGCAGTTAGTAGTGCAGAAAAATTCCTTTCTATAGGTGGTTTATTGTAATTATTTTTCAATGCTTGTCGGAATAATGATTCCACCATAAAACAAATGTTAACTACACTCACAGAGGGCACAGTTAAACCACCTCTCTGCTTTTGGATAATAAGTGCTACCCCATTTCTCCTATTGGACACTGCATCTTGTGGTACAGTTTCGCAGGCCATTAAACACTCATCACATTTAATTTTTTTTCGAATCGATCGAATTACAAAGCCTGCAATATAGCCAATGCATTGTTTGGCAGTCTCATTAATATTAGAGTCAGGTATTGCCCAAAATATATGTAAAAATTCATTTAACTCGGTTTGTAACGAGGATGGGTCATTGTCGTCAAGGCGGTATTTCTTCGTAGTACGCATATTTTCAGCATTGGTAAAATCATCAACATTAAATTTATTTATTTTAGCACGTTTTGCACTAGAAGCAGTTAGTATTGATATATTATTGCCCTGGACGTTGCCGGTAGAAGTATTAATTTCATGATGGATTAATAACTGTTTGTACGCATTGACAAATTGTGCAGCTGTTGGGTTTGGGCACCAACCCCCACGGCTACGAATGGCACAAAAAAACAGTTCTAAGTGATCCTGGCTCATCTTATACGTTAAAAGATACTTTAATTCAGGTCTACCTGACTTAACATAAGTATCAAATATATTCATAACGGAAATTACTGCATTGTAAAAACCTAAAAAACCAGCTTTCCGGCGAGATTTAACGGCCAAAGTATTATCCATAAGTTTGATTTCACTTAAATATTCAATTTCGTCAAGAACTTTTGTCCTCCACCTATTTTCATTGTTTATTCGTAAAGGACTTTTAAAACCTCGACCCCAAGGATTCCGAACATTCAAAAAATCAAAAATTCTATCTACAGCTCTTGTGAACCTGACCGTAGCTGCGGAACCACTAAACTCAGGGATATTTAAAATAGTATCGCAAAACTCAATCGCGTCTGCTACACTGCTACTGAGAGTTTGAGCCGCAAGATAAACTTTCATAATCATTTTTTTATAATTTACATGCAAATTTTTCAATTTGTTTCCTAGTCTTAGGCCTTCAGTTTCTTGCAATTTTGCCAAATTTTCCACATATACCCATTTAATTAAATCATTTCTTTCATCTTTTAAAACTTTTAAATCACCCAAACAATTTCTTATGTTTTTTAACATATGACATGGGTCAAAAATAATATAAACTTTCTGTTCTTTATTTATGGGATGACAGAAGTATGGTTTTGCTGCTGTTCCTATTTTAAGCTCTGCCCCTAATTTAGCTACTGCAGAAAAATGTTCAGGTGGCCCATCTAAAGTTAAGGAGCATATCTCCACAGATACGTCATGCAACCGAATTAAGGCCTGTTTAATTAGAGCACTTTTGGTTTCGGAAGTCAAACTATTAATAAAAAAATAGGCTATAGGCAATTTCCAATTACTATTTAAAGGCACGACCATAAATACCAACGCATCTTTACATTCAGGTAAATCGTTGCTCTCAGAATCTATACCCAAATCGACGTGGCCACGAGTCACTCCGTCACGGCTGCGAGTACAACTTTTTTTTAAACTCATTTCGTCAATTATTAATGCACATATAAGTTTTTCCCCTTTTTGTTTTGCTAGTTCACTTTTAAGTCCCAAAGCATTGAAACTTTCGACAGAGAATCCTGGATTGGCATCAATGGAACTATACCATGAGCGAATCACACGAGGATGCGGCAAAGCCAAATTAAATTTATTACGCACATATGCATATGCCTTTGGCGAATAAAAATGTAGAGTAATGGCAAATGATCTTAATTCTGGAGCATACTTAGCACGTTTCACATTTTTGGTCATCCTTTTAAAAAGTTGTGGTTTAAAATCATCGTACTGATTTAACATATATATACAATCATCACATACCAGTTTCCTTTTTTTTAAATCAGTAATTACAGATTTTAAAGCAGACACGGTAATTTTCATACGTTTCACATTTTGAGACAATACTTTAATTCGAGCTTGTGACATTTTCAAGGCTCTTTTGACCCTTTCTAATTTAGTTTTGGAAGATTTTGGGGTGTTTTCGTAGCGGTGATCTAATTTGACGCTAGACCAGATTTCTGATAAACTTCTAGATTTTGTTGGTGTGCTACAGTAACTTGTGTTGTAACTTGTGCTTGGAACTGTAACAAGAAATTATATTTTATTACTTATACCATTCAAAGAAAGAAAATAATTAGATAGTGAAAATACAATTGAAAATAATGGGAAAGGTATGTCATCATCATCTTTTCAGCCGAAAGATGTCCACTGTTGCACATAAGCCTCCCCCAACCGTCGCCATATAGGATTCTCGTGAATCTCACAACTCTCACTAGGTCATTTGTCTACCTTGTGGAAGGCCTTCCAACGGAAAGGTATATTTAAAAAAAAGTTAATTAATTACAAGATAACACAAGGGTACAAAATAAAGGAATGATACTCTGCTAGACAAAATACTTAATTACCCTCCTTCAGTTGGGTAAAAATGGTCATTTCGCAGTAAAAAAAAACTAAAATGTTTATTTTCAAATAATACACCCGCTTTCTTTCCAAAAAAAAATTGAAGTTTCAACTTTTTATTCACTCGTGAAAAACGCCGTGCGCCATTACGTGACGTCGTCATGGTATCAAAAACACAGTAGTATTTGCAGTCGTAGCCTATAACTCTCTTGACAGGCCGATGACAGCTGATAGCGATGAGAGCTTGAGTACCACGATGACGTCACACCATGGCGGCTCGTGTTTTAAGTCACGTAGTACATAGATTAAAAGACAAGTTTTTAAATTAACCTTTTGAATACCGTCATTAGTCAAACAATAAAAAGAAAATAGACGCGGGCGCTGGCGTCCGGCGCGGTGTGTAATGAATGTAATATACTTAATTTAAAAACTTGTCAAAGATCATGGAAAAAAATAAATTGAAATGTAATTAAATTATTTGTGTTTAGTTAGACATACATATACATACATACATAACTTCACGCCTGTCTCCCATGGGGGTAGGCAGAGACTAAGGAACGCCAATTACTACGATTCTTACATACCTCTTTCGCTTCATTAACAGTCATCAATCTTTTCATGCATGCTCGTCGGTTAAGGGTACTTTTAATTTGGCCCTTCTTTAATATATCGCCAATCTGGTCACTATATGTCCGTCTAGGGCGCCCTCTACCGACGGCTCCATTCATATCCGCTCTGTATACTTCTTTCGTTACTCTACTTTCATCCATCCTTTCTACATGTCCAAACCAGCGTAACATTCCCTTTTCAATCCTTGTCACTACATCGTCTTTCAATCCACACCTCTCTCTAATAACACTATTTTTCACTCGATCACTCAATTTTAGTCCACACATACTTCTCAGGGCTCTCATTTCCACCGCATTAATCCTGCTTTCATGCTTCTTCTGCCACACCCATGATTCACTACCATACATAAGCGTTGGTGTCAATACACACTGCATTACAGCAAGTCGAGCTTTGCTGGATATTATTTTACTCGACATTACAGAGTGTAAAGCACCATTAACACTATTTCCCGCTTTCACTCTCCTTTCAATATCCCCGTCACACTTTCCATCTCTCGTAAATAGTGATCCCAGATACACAAATTCATTCGCTTGTTCCAATTTTTCATCACCTATCATTACGTATATTATATCATTACGTATACGTATTATCACCTATCATCATATGTTTAGTTAGAGTAGTTAGTAAATATATGTATTTTCATTTTTAATGAATGATATAATATTCTGTTCACCACTGGAAGTGCCCTCTAAAAATTGTTTAAGATTTACCCACTTTTTGTCACCAACTTTGTACTTCAGTAAGTCATATTCAGTATTAATGAAATTTTCTAAAATAACTTACCAGCAAGGGCTTCACATGGCAACATTTCTTCTGGATTAATTTCAATATGCTCGACTTGCACAGGTACTAAAAGTGAATTTTTATCCAAGCTCATTTCAATATCTTTCTGGGACTGGTATCCTGTTGGTTGGTCAGCATCTTTAGACATCTCAGTTTGAAACAAGGATGAATTAGTTTCTGTAAAAAACATAAGTATTATTTTATTTAGATAATCAACAGTATTTCTTAGATACTGACCAAGTATTTACAATTACAAATGTAAACTAACCAAGAAATATTGTTGGGACACTGCATTTTTTCAACGTAGTCCGTGACTGATGTGTTATGAAACAGTCATCCGTGAAATGTTTAGAACAGAGATAATTATACATTGTCGGAGTCCAGTTGACAACTTTCATATTTTTTAACCAAAGTTTCAGAGTGTAATCAGAGGGGAACCTGTAATTAAAAGAAATATTATAGTAGGTATGGATAAAACAATATGAATAATACAAAATAATAATATATTTGTAATTTTATTAAAGGTGATCTTTAATAAAATTACAAATATATTATTATTTTATTAAAGATCACTCAATGAGAATTATTAATCATAAATGTTAAATTATTTGTTATTGACTCTAATAATTATAAACCTTGAAGTGTTTTGCTATTAATAGACATCATTATAATGTACGTATTATTATTTTAAAATGATGGTAAACATTATTGTTCAATTCAATTCAATTCTTAATTAGAGGCCATTGTGAAAAGACCACGCATCAACGCTGGAGAGTATTAGAGCGAATTAATAGTAAAAATATATATATTTTAAATTAGAATAAAATACAACACTATGACTTTTGATTTACTTCTAAATATTACGAAAGTATCGATATGAATTTTGACATCCCTAACAAAAGTTATTGTAACCAATAACTTTAAAAATGTTCGTAAAATCTCTTAAATTCGAACAGTTTACGCTTATTATTCTAAGAATACACTGCTATAAGCGGTTTTCTAATAAATATTCATGTTTTAAATCCACTTACTTGTGAAAAGTAACACCACTGCCTTTTTCGTATCGTATTTTACAATATACGCACGATTTCATGTTGGACAGATAATACAAACTATGATACAATCACTGTCACTATTATAACACATTAATATATATCACAATCACAATAAATACTTTAGAAACTTTTTATTCCGCTTATTACACTTCGCTTCAAAACAACAAACAACGGCCATTTGCAATCTTATTAGTTCTCAGAACTCTCACCGGGGGCGCTTTAAATCGGCACAGCAAATAGCTGTCATTTTGTATGGCATAGCCAGTCCAGCGTATTATTATAGAGGTCAGTGGTCCCATGTAATGGGGGGCGAGCCTATTGCCATATACCGGGCACAATTCCAGACTCCGTGCTACTACTGAGATGTTTTTTTTGTAAAACCCCAGTAAAACCTTGCCCGACCCGGGAATCAGTCGCACTTGCGACCACTCGGCCAACGAGGCAGTCCAAGCAGGCTGATATTAATGTATAGTACTTATAGTAGAATGTAATGTTATTTCCAGGGCGCGTTTAAAAGAAACATGGATGCAACAAGCGCAAGAGAACGAAAGACTTAGGGATATGAATGAGAAACTCACCGCGGAGAGGGATGTACTGAAAACTGTGATCTTAGAACATTTGAAGAAATGCCACGATTCTAACGACTTGAGTAAGTATATTATTGTTATTGATCAAAATTGTTTTAAGTGTGGGAGAGCCATGCTTCGGCACGAATGGGCCGGCTCGACCGGAGTGATACCACGGCCGAGCAGAAAACCGACGTGAAACAACGCTTGCGATGTGTGAGTGAGGTTACCGAAGGCCCAATTACCGAATTATTAATTAATTAGGGGACTGAGTAGTCATTAGTTTTTGTCGGTAGTTAAAGGCTTAATCAATGTTTACTTTTTGATTACCATAACATGACATCACGCCTTTTATCCCCGAAGGGGTAGGCAAACGTGCACATTATGGCAATTAATGCCACTGTACAATGTAACACCCACTTTTCACTATTTATTTTACGAGTCCCATGTAATAGGGGGTGAGTCTATTGCCATATATCGGGCACAATTCAAGACTCCGTGCTAACTACTAAAAATTTTACTAAAAAGGTTTAAAAACCCTGTAGTACTTTGCCCGACTCGGTAATCGAACCCGAGACAACTTGCCCGGCGGTCACACTTGCGACCACTCGGCCAACGAGGCAGTGATTACCAGATGACACTAAATTAGCATTTGGTCTGTTTACAAATATATCTCATTGATCTTTGACCGCCTCGTGAGTCGTGTGCTCGTAATATGACCGCCAAACAAAGAGTTGTAGATGCAATTCCTGGGTAGAGCAAAGTGTAATGTTGAGTTTTTCTGGTCTATGAATTGTCCATAAAAACATTGATAATAGAATTTCACTTTGCCCGACCCTAGAATCAAAGTTATGACGTCATGACAACCGAGGGCATGGCTGGCGCGGTGGCTAGGCAACTGGCTGCTACGTAACGTGTCACGGGTTCGATTCCCGCACGGAGCAACTCTGTGTGATCCTCAGATTGTTGTTCCGGGTCTGAGTGTCATGTGTATGTGAACTTGTATGTTTGTAAACGTACCCACGACACAGGAGAAAACCCTAGTGTGGAGCAATGTAAAAAAAACAGTCAATTTGCTTGCGATTCGATAAAAATTGCATATTTTATATTTTTCTTTATTAATGAGTTGCATTTAAATAATATCTATTTATAATTGTTTCAGAAAATATTTTGGAGAACCTCAAAAGTACAGGGACTACGTTACAATAATTCTGCCTAGCCTACTTTTCTTGGTTAATAGTCGTCATGAGCTAATGTTCACATGTAAACAGTGACTCATGTAGTGTAGATGTCCAGTCAACAAGGATGTAGCGAAGACTGTCCAGGCGACACAAGTACTTAGGTATCGTCATGAGCTAATGTTCACATGTAAATAGTGACTTATGTAGTGTAGATGTCCAGTCAACTGATGGTAGCGAGGTTCATTACTGGTGAATCCCTGCCTACCTCTTTGTTGAAGAAAATTTCGCGATATTGTTATGTTTAAAGTGTTTAATAGCAACTATCCATGACATAGATGATTCGATGTCTGACTCAGTGTTGAACTTTTTGATCGCCACATCAAAAATATATAATTTAGGACGTTTTGAGTTGAATTGTGTTTAAAATTGGTAATTTACTGCACGGTTGGCGCGCAACGTGTCGCGGGTTCGATTCCTACACGAAGCAACTCTTGTATGATCCACAAATTGTTTTTTTCTGGTGTGATGTGTATGTGATATTGTATGTTTGTAAACGTACACACGACACAGGAGAAAATCCTAGAGTGGGGCAACGTTTTTAAAAGATAAAGAAAAAATTATGGTTCTTCTATCTTTTTCGTTCTTTCTATATCTATTCTAAAAACATTCTAAATTAGGATATTCTTTTACTTACACACACTTAAAGATAAAATAACATTTTATGGACACAAAGAATACGGTAGTTTCCTAAATTTTATTTGAATGTCCGTCTGGTACATTAATTTAAAACTTACACGTATTTTTCTTTTCTCACAAAATTAAATGCTTTCGACGATATATTAATCTGAAATATCGTGTGACGTCACAGCGTGCCACGTTTTGTAGCACGTTATGACGTAATGACCTTCCACTCCTAAACTTAGCGCCATTTTATCTAAGTATAGCAACGTAATACGAGAAAATAAAAAAATACGTGTCTAATATTTTTTTCATTATCTAAATGACGGACTAATTAGACTTTTAATTTTGATACCCTGGAAACTACCCTCACATCTAAAGAAGCTGTGTGCAGTAGCCTATTTTCTAAGCCACTGTACTTTGCTAAAGGTCTACACATTGGGCCAACATATTTGGCCAATGCTTACAGACCTACTTGGTGATTTTCTAAGCCACTGTACTTTGCTAAAGGTCTACACATTGGGCCAACATATTTGGCCAATGCTTACAGACCTACTTGGTGATTTTCTAAGCCACTGTACTTTGCTAAAGGTCTACACATTGGGCCAACATATTTGGCCAATGCTTACAGACCTACTTGGTGATTTTCTAAGCCACTGTACTTTGCTAAAGGTCTACACATTGGGCCAACATATTTGGCCAATGCTTACAGGCCTACTTGGGCTATGCCGTTGGCCGACCAATGTTGGCGCCAGCACTGCCAGGCCAACCGAATGTCATTGATTTTCGTGCGAACATCAAAGGATCTTGCCGCGCTCCACTAACGGCATTCACACATTATCGTCTCATTCAGTTTGCTGTCATACGTCACCAAAGACTGTACTGTCGCGCGTAAGTTGTTTCCGAAATACAATGGCGTGGACGAACACTGAGATTTAACATTTTATCCAAATGTACAGAAAGGACATTTACTATTCACTATATTGGCCTCATGTGTAGAGCCGCCTTAACCATTGTTATATTTTTTTTATATTTCACTAGCGACCCGCCCCGGCTTCGCACGGGTGCAATATACATGTATTATACATGTAAACCTTCCTTAAGAATCATTCTATTTATTAAAAAAAACCGCATCAAAATCCGTTGCGTAGTTTTAAAGATCTAAGCATACATAGGGACAGACAGACGGCGGATAGCGACTTTGTTTTATACTATGTAGTGATGGGCCGACGTTTGACCGAGATAGTGGTCAAATGTCGGCCTGGTGGTAAGCGATGACGCGGTCTACGATGGAGCACGTCGTCCCATAAGCAACCTATTCACTCGGGTGAAGACACCCAGGTTATACCCTTATAATCTAGTTCATTATTTATGCTTGACAGTGGCGGTCAAAAAGTAATAAGTATGTTGTTTATACTCAGTAAAAAAAAAACAATAAATTGACAATTATTTCAGATTTTTATGAGCTTCACAGATATTGTTAAATAGGCGTCAACATGTTCTTATTTTTGATAAATGCAGTATTTTCCAATGAATTGACTCAAATGGTTTTATTATGAAATATTGTTGTTGAGATTTATTATTGTTGTGACATAATATTATGTGAAATAATTAAATTAATTTATTTATGTACCTAAAGTAATAAATCAAGTTTAATTTTTTTTTCGTGGTTTTTTTTAAATATTTTTCCTTTTGTATTTATCCACAAAAAATTGGTTGCTAAGTCGTAAGCTTGTAATAGATTTCCAACAATTGCAAAGAGATTAGATTGAAAATCCTTACTAATATTATAAATCTGAAAGTGAGTTTGTTGGTTTGTTCCACCTTCACGCCGTTACTACTCAACCGATTGCTTTGAATTTTTGCAGACGTAAAGTTAGAAGTCTGGATTAAATAATAGGGTACTTTTTAACCCGGAAAAAATTGATATTCCCGAGGAAAAACAAAAGTATTGGTATAGATGGCGCTGTGTGTATTGGTAATGTCACATGTCTACTTTTTATTATTTTGTGACGCGAGCGAAGCCGCGGGTAAAAGCTAGTACATAAATAAATGAACGACTTGGCCACAATAGGGTAGATGACTAATTTGGCGCATTTACATTAAGTCGGTTAGTCTGGTAGATACTTTTAAAACATTATACACGTATTTTTTATTTTTTCTGAGACTGCCTCGTTGGCCGAGTGGTCGTAAGTGCGACTACCGGACAAGGGGTCTCGGGTTCGATTCCCGGGTCGGGCAAAGTATTACTGGGTTTTTAAATATTCTCAGTAGTAGCACGGAGTCTGGAATTGTGCCCGGTATATGGCAATAGGCTCACCCCCTATTACATGGGACTCATAACATAAATAGTGAAAAGTGGGTGTTACATTGTACAGTGGTATAATGTGCACCTCTGCCTACCCCTTCGGGGATAAAAAGGCGTGATGTTATGTTATGTTATGTTTTTATTTTTTACAGAAACGAATACTTTCGACGATATATTGAGAAATGTCGCGTGGCGTCATTTCTATGTACATTTTATACATAGAAATGACGTTTTAGCCTCCACTCCTAAACTTTGATTCGTTTTATCTAAGTATCATTTTATTATACAACAAAAAAAAATACTTGTGTGATATTTTTTTATTACCTAACTGACGGACTAAATTAGACTTTTAATTTTCATACCCTGTCATCATCCCTATTCTGTCGTCATTATTCGGACAGGTCCGGTAATCTACCTGTCAATTATATTTTACAGTATTTTTAAAGGACAATGCTTTGAATAAAACTATTGATGTAACTGACGTAAGGTTACGCTTGTTTGGGAAATCAATTTCATAGTTTTCAAAGTTGGTTGAACAATTAGTAAATTGTTATGACGCTTGGATTAGACATTCAAACTGAGTGAAGTGGGTACATTTGTGTGGCATATTCATTTACACACCGTGAAATTTATTTCGTAATTCGTCTCGGGGCAAAATAACTTGCTATAAGGAGTAGGTACTTTCGATGTATAAAGTAAAAACAAAGAAATAATGATGTCATTTATCTTTAGTTGCAAAAAGAATAATCATGGAAGTACGCACATGAAACACTAGACATTATGTACGCACTATTCGCACGTGCCACTCAACGAGAAATACCTCTTCGAGAATTAAATGGCGTTAGGTTTTAATAATGTAATATGAGTTCGTATGAGCTTTCGAAGTTTGCTTATTGCAATGGTTCACTAGTTATTATTTGTTTTAAACATTTTTTTGTCAAACTATTGTATTATCTAGACAGAACCATTTTACTTCGGGACGAAAACGGAATAGATTTCACGATGTGTTTTATAGTATGTATTTATTAGTAGAACACAAAATGTTTGATACACCGAGCAGCAGCACATTTTAAACTGTAACCTCCAATATGAATTATTTATTTTAACGTCTTGAACAGTCGAAGCAATTAATTTTTGAGAAACTATTCATTCACAATGTCTTGATTTTTCAGCGCCCCCTTGCGTTTGTTCCCGCAACTAATGAACACACCCTCTCAAACGCCATTGACATTTTGACAGTGAAAATGGCGCGAATTTTCTTTTCACTACATATGCCGAAAGTGTTTCGAATTTCCACCACTAGATGGTGTTGTTACTATTATGTTGAATAACTTTCGCTTTTCCAAGAATTTGTACTACATGAATGTATTTTCGTTACGTTAAGCTTAGTACGTATAGTATTTTCATATCTTTGTGAATTCTTATTACTATGTGAATAAATATTTCTAGATATTAAATTTATTTTGGAATATTTGTCTTTTTAGCAGATGAGATTTAAAGTTAGACTCGTAATCATTGCAATTATTTTATGTTTAATGCACCTATTTAATGGACAGAATTACGATAATATTTTAATTTTACTACTAATAAGCCCACTATTTTATTAACTTAAGATTATAATTATACATTTTCTCTCATTTTTATCCTAACACACTTGTTTATATTAAACTAAATGATATAATTTAATTAATCCAATCTGTTTCCTATTTAATTCAAAAGGTGATTTGATATCATTAGAGAATCACCAAAAATGAATTTTGTAGTAATATTTTCTTTGTTTTATGTTATAAAACCCTAAAATGCGAGCATTTCTCGTTTTCCGCATAGCAGTAATACAGAACCAATGCCGGAGTGACTGGGTTGTCAGTTAACAAATTTTACCAAGTTTCGGGGTAAACTTGATTGTATTGCGGAATTTATTTCTTCAAATGCGTTGTTTATTTAGTATGACTTTGTATAAAATCTGTGTTTTAGATCAAATATCATAACAATTTTTTGATGTCAATCAAAATATCAAAGGAACATAATCAATGGAGAAATTT